TCCCTCATTGGTAGACCTGGGTCCCTCATCAGTCGACTCGGTCCCTCATCGGTCGACCCGGTCCCTCGTTGGTCGACCTGGGTCCCTCGTTGGTAGACCCGGGTCCCTCATTGGTAGACCCGGTCCCTCATTGGTAGACCTGGGTCCCTCATCAGCCGACTCGGTCCCTCATCGGTCGACCCGGTCTCTCGTTGATCGACCTGGGTCCCTCATTGGTAGACCTGGGTCCCTCATCAGTCGACCCGGTCCCTCATCGGTCGACCTCGGCCCCTCGTTGGTCGACCCGGTCCCTCATTGGTAGACCTGGGTTCCTCATCAGTCGACCTCGGCCCCTCGGGGTTCGGCCACTCCGGACCAGTTAATACAAGGATCAGACTAGTCGACGCAAGGAATCAGAGCTTCAGGAAAGGATAGAGTAAAGGAGTTAAAAGGATAGGACTATATTAAATACTACTCAATTTGCGATCTACTTGGCAAGTCTTCGTCGCGCTGTAAAGGAACTCTAGTCTGGCCACACGCCTGTTCCGGGGAAGGGATATATTTGCACCCGCCCCCCCCGTTGAAGACAGGCGTGTGGTCAGACTCAAGTGCGAGCTGAACCCCACGTGGCACGACTCCGTCACCCAAGAAGAACTTGCTCTAAGCTACTCACTGTTCCGGGAAGGGATATATTTTGGTCCCCCGTCGAAGACAGTTGTGTAGCGAAGTTCAAGTACGAATAGAGCTCCAGGATATATTTGGCCTGTGAGCTCGTTCGAGTAGCAACACTCCCCAAGACCCGCTATCGGAAGCGGTCTCTCTCACCTCACGGTCCGGGAGCAAAGTAAAGGTCAGGTGGTTCATACCCCTCAAACAAGAAGGAAAAGGCCAGGGACGACAAGCGCCCCTGAAGAATTTGGCTCTAAGTCCACTCTCGACAAGGTCGATCGAGTGGCCACCTACCGGCCCACCGAGTGAAGCATATCCACTCGAGGCCCCCCAGGTCTACCTCCCTCTAGGCAGACATCTACATCGTCACCAAGTCCTCCGAAGAGTGCAACCCGCCAGCCGACGGGTACACAAGGTGAGAGAAGGTTCATACGCGGCATCGGGTTACCCCCTCCGACAGTCGGCAGTCCGGCACAGTGAGTGGTTTGGGGTCTCATCATACAATTTTGAGAACCCACTCCACCACAGTGTCGTTGCTATCTCAGATAACGTACTCCTTCCAACCGCACCAGGCTCTTGGCTCTGTGCCGGTTCTTGTGGCGCTTGACTTCTTGTCAGCCCACCATCAACTGCCACAGGCTCTCGGCTCTGTGAAGGACTATTGGACGCATGACTATCTTTCATCGCCCCATTCACTACACCAGCCTTTTCGAACTGGGTAGGAATATGTGTCACCTGGCTTTCCGCCAGTGCACTTCCAAATACTCCAGGCTCAACGAGATGGGTAGTATCTGGTGTCGATTGGCATACCGTCATCGCACCCTCGACTGTGTTGGATACAGCTTCAGCCACATAAGCCTCTCGCAAGAACACATCCATTCCGGTGTCTTGCGTAGAGCTAGCGACTGTGCGTGTACGCCAGCCAATCCATGGTTGGTGTTTAGCCAGCCAAGGCATGCCTAAGATTAGGTCATACGGACTCTCCATACCTAGCATTGTGAGCTTCTCTTTACAAGAAAAGTCGCTGAAGCTGAAGGCGAGTTCAACTTGAGCTCCCTCTCATTCTACGAGCGCGTCGTTCGCTAAACGAACGATTGCCTCCTCTCGTTTGTCATCCTGGCAAAGCGACTCATAACTCGCCGGATTCTTTTTCAGGGACGCGAGTTTCACAAAGTTTTGTGATGCACCCGAATCAACGAGAAGGGTCATCACTTGTTCATAGCCTCGTACTCGAGCGCTAAAGACCAAAAGGGTTGAGTTCCGACCTTTCGGAACCTTAGGGACTATGCTATCCATTTGTTCGATCACTCTGAACTTAGGGGTAGCTTCAGAGTCCGCGACAGTAGGGCATCCCGCCCCTACTGCGCTCCCGCATTTCCCTACTTGTCGGGGGTCAAATCTGAACCCGTGCGACGTGCACGGTTCTTCGAACCACCCTTCGGGTTAGGAGACTTTTTGCTGGGCGCCTTGACCCCAGCAGCAAGATTGGCATAGCAGCGAGCCATCATATGGCCGCGCTTGCCGCACTTGTAGCAGACCACGTCTGCATTGCCTAACTCCATAGGAGTGGCATCCGACTTCTCGGTCGACGACCTGTAATAGGCTGTCGCCGAGGCGCTGTTGTAGGATTGCTCCTCAACTAAGGCAATGTCAATTGCCTCCTCCATCGCTTTTGGCACCTTTCGAAAAAGGGCCTGACGCGATGGGCCGTGCCGTAGTCCGTTCATGAACGTAGGAATCTTAATGGGTTCCGGTATCGGACCCACTTAAATGGGTGCAAACAGCGAACACATCTCCTGCACAAATTCTTGCAGAAAGCGTTTCGCCTGTCGTGCTCCAAAGAAGAGCGCCATAAGCAGCACTTCGTTTTTAGGCGGATGGTACATGGCGCGAATCTTTTCCTTAAAGATCGTCCATGATGGAAATGCATTAGCATTTGCCATAATCGCAGAGTATGCCCACTCTGACGCTTTGCCACGCAAATCGGACATGGTATACGACACCATCCTGGTGTCGTCTTCGATGAGCTTCTCCACTCCGCATTGCTCAACTGCTAATAGCCAGTGAGCAATCGTGTGAGGGCTAGTTCCATCGAACTTCGGAGGGTCCATCCGAATGGGCCTCGGTTGATTAGGCCGGGCAGAGAGCGTCTCAACAGTTCTGTTGAGCGCCTCATTACGTGCCTGCTCAAGCTTAAGCTCATCCTGAGTCTTATTAATGGACTCAGCCGTAGCTTGGCTGTTTGCCTCGGACGCATTTCTGCGCTGTCCAAGGACAAACGCCTCAAATTCCTCCAACTGAGCAACATGTTGCTCAGGAGTACAATGCAAGAAGTTGACCAGGGCTTGTTCATCAAGTCCCTGCGTCATATGCTCTGCCAACTCCTTATGGAGTTGGGAGAGGTGAGGGAAGTCACTCCAGTCCATATGAAGGACCATCTTAACCACACGCACGCTCAGAGAGACGGGTCGTGGGAAGGACTACAAGTGCTACCAAGTGTATATGGGCACTTCTACGAAGTTACTTAGCGCACACCTTCAGCACAAGCGAGGAAGCGGTTATACCTTCTTACCTTCGCGTGCGAGGGTAGATGTGTGGTTTTTCGACTGCTTAAGCAGTCGTACCACCAGTTGCCTCTCGCTTTAGCGAGAGTGCAACAAACAACTAACACATGTCCTATTTGTTGTCAATACGACTCCTCGACCAGCTGCGATATACCGATAAGATACCCGTATGACCATGTCGCGATACTACCGTCATTCCTGTGATTGGATGCAGTTGAAGTTCGGTGATTGGATGCAGTTGAAGTTTGGATCAAGTAGAGTGTATCCAGAGGGTAAACATTAGGCTTAGAGTTGTGTAAGCGAACTAAGGACCAAATGAATCACTTTGCGTTTTGCATTAAACCACTCAAGCACTTCCAACCTCTCCAATAACCTTTACTACTTACGTCACGCAGAAGCTTTCTTAGCTTCCCGTGCGCAGTAGACGGTAATTAGTAAATTCAAGACTGACTTATATATAGTAGAAATAAATTAAACATAGATCTAACTACTGATTGGTTAATATGTAATGCTGGGTGCCATCTCATTAGATTCGTGTCCTTACGTGCGAGCTAAACACATAGTTAAGTTCGCTTCATGACGTAACTGACTGATGGCGTCATGTGATGACGCCTAATACTAGCTGGGCGTCATCCCCATCAATGTGAATACACTTAGTGTATACCACATACCCAAGGTTGTGTGACACATGGTGTGTCTCACCCGTGCGAAAGGTCTTTAGTACTTACGTACCTATTTAGACCTGCCCGTTAAGTATCGCATACTTAATGGGTACGTGCAAGTTAAGCCCGTTACATTCGTGATACCTGCTCCCTGCTCGATGTAATCAAGGAAAGTCACTAAGCTGCTTATAGAGTCCTCCCGCAACCTTCACTTAACATTCTCAACGTCAAAATATCCTTGACATGTGGTTTAGTAGTTTTTCTTTTCCAAAATACAAGAAAAATACTCATTTTACAAAGTTTTATTGCCCTGGCTGATTATTTAGCGACCATAGAACGACGCGAAATTTGATAATCTACCGGAGGTTACAGCATATGGGAGGATATTCTATTGGAAGGAGGTCTGTATGAAGGTCGTGCAAAGACGAATGAGAAAGGAACGTTTGACGTATGGGGTTGTATATAATATTGCCAGCTGATAATAGTACAAGTCAAGAGCGTCCACACCGGATTGTTGGACATGTATAGGACGAAACAGTAACGGATCAGGAAGATCGACATGATGAGCTGGGAACAGATGGACGAGTCATAGATGCGCATGCAGTCTTAACAGGTTAATACAACTATGAATATATGTAACTTTTACTTCTACCAACTTCAGCGCAAGTGCACTTGCCTCCACGAACAACGTGAGTTTCCTTATACTCGCTAGAGAACAAGAGGAGATGCAGTTTCACCGCAGTATGATCCTGTTCGATTGCAAGTCTTAAGTGGTCATCACAAGAGTCAGTGAACATTTCTCAGACATTGTGAAATATATCGAGGAGATTGAGAAAAAAGGGTTTGCATACGAGGCGATGGACGGCTCCGGAGTGTACTTTAGTACCCACAATTGGGTAAAAACTACGGCAAAATGGACCCGAGACGACAGACGCTGGGGAATGCAGAGATGCAGGCTGAAGCGGTGGCGGCAGTGGAGGAGAGTCAAGTTGTGGAAGAAGAGGAAAAAGTAAAGAAAGACCCGAGAGATTTTGCGCTGTGGAAAGCGGCGAAGGAGCCAGATGAACCGGCATGGCAATCCCCGTGGGGAATGGGTAGACCTGGGTGGCATATTGAATGCTCGGCAATGACACATCATGTGCTCGGGGATAAATTGGATGTGCACACGGGTGGAGTGGATCTGCGATTTCCACACCACAACAATGAGATCGCACAGTGTGAAGCGCACAATCATGGAGTTCAATGTGGGCATGATAAAGAGTGGTGCAAACATTTTGTGCACTTTGGACACTTGTATTTTCGCGGAAGGAAAATGTCCAAGTCGCTGAAGAACTTTATCTCGGTGAAGGATTTCTTGGAAGATGGGCACACAGCGGATCATTTTCGCCTATTTTGTCTGCAGTTCAAATACCGCACAAACTTGATCTACTCGGAGGATCGAATACGAGATGCAGTAGTAGTGGCAGATCGTCTGAGAGGTTTTTTTCGAAGTGTTGTGGCGTACGGCGGTGATCGTGACATTTCTAGCAGCAATGCTGGCGAAACGCTGTGAGAAAAAAGACCTGGAAATGTTGGACGCACTGTTCATGACCCAAGCGCAGGTGGACGAAGTTTTATTAGACGATTTAGACACGCCACGTGCACTATTACTTATATTGGAACTGGTATCACGCGGAAACACATACTTGTTGGCACACAGAGGCGATACGGAGGCTCCAGATGAGGTGCTGATCGCATTGACTGGTTACGTGCTTGAGGTGCTGGACCTCTTTGGACTGGAGGGACTTCATGCCGAGTTTTCAGCCATGATGTGCCGTCGATTCGCTCTTTCGGGTCACGAACAGCTGCATGAAGTGATAATTTAGTTAGCAGGGACGAACAGGAGGCTCTGCTTCGTTCTTTGCTCAAATTTCGTGCTGCAGTGCGAGAAGAAGCTCTGCGCGACCCTAAGGAGTTGAGCAACACTCGCGTCCTCGCCTTATGTGACTCCTTGCGCAACGAGGAGCTGCCTCAATTCGATATCCACATGAAGGACTTTGCACCGTGTTGAAGTTTCTCGTGGAAGAAAAGCGCCATGACGTTCATTTGACTCGACCGGCTTCGCCCCAAGATTCTGAGCTCTCCGGGTCTACCACCAGTTTCGCGAGGAAATAATGTGCGCCTGGAGTGCGTGGAAACTACAACTTAGGGCCACATACGTACTCGACATGGAACAAGTGCGAACGAAGGAGGTACACTGTCGTTTTTATCGGCTTACATGATGTACTTAATCGACTAATTTTGATTGTGACTGCTCATGCTACAGTTTGTAACTCTAGGCTCCATGACTTTTTCGCTCCGCTTCTTTAATGTATACAATCCCCACAATCACGAAAACGTATTGGTTCAGCGTCAAGATTTTTTGTATATTGTCTAGCTGCATTTTGGCCCTCAGTGCAAGCATTTAAAGTGATGGGACATGATTCACTAACTTTTGATCGCCCTTCTCGTAAAATTGTATGCGACTCGCCCATTTGCAGTACGATGGTGAGACATGAAGGAAGAAACAACAGGAGCTTGAGAAGCTGATGCAGATCATTCTTTCGGAGATTTTCAAGAATTTGCCGGTCCATTCAACACGTGTAGCCCGAATGGTTTTTCAACGCTCGAAAAGCCATAGCGCTACTTCTTGCGACGGAAGTGAATCAAGAAGATTACTGCCATGCCACAACATCGCGGTGAAAATCGCGCACCCATTGAGATATATTGTGGGAAGCATACTCGTACTCGTACAAACGCTGCAAGTACTATGAACTTTAATGAACTAGCAAAAAAGACACATTGTGGCATAGAAATCTTGACACCGTGTTGGCCTGCTGCCTAAGGAACAATGCATTCATCAGTAGTAAAATTAATGCTGCTGTGTCTGTTGCATAATAGCGCATGTACGTCATGGTCTCTACGATTCTCCCTCTTTACATTTTGTTGCGATATATTTGCACCACCACTGCAAACATAAAAATGAGTAAGCCGACCAAAAAAAGAACGGAAGTGATATGGCATTACATACCCCTCCTTTTTATGTCGTAGCAGATCTCATCAGGTATCTCATTCTACCCTCGTCTGTACAAATATCGTGAAGGCGACGGTAGAGTGCGACCGTCTTGATACTCGTCTAAAACCAGTAAAATGAATCTGAGCTCATAAATTACATTTATTATATTGTACGGCCACAAAACGATTTATTTAGGCTTTTGCTGATAAAAAAAGTTAATACTTTCGTTTTGTACCATGCGCTTTCTGATAGCAGATAACTGACTCTGAAAGGCTGGCTTTTTTATACCAGAAAAAAAAACATGCTGTGTACATATCATGTACCGCGTATAAAACATACAATGTTCATAGACGAGTACCTAAGCAAATGCGTTAGTATCCCGATTAAATAACTCGATGCTGAACTCAAGCCTACTCTGACCTCTAGATGCATGCCTTATCATGTAACAATGGACACAAACCTTGTCACTACTGTGATTGAATCTCTTACTATAATTCTCACCTTATTCTTCATTACAGATAGAGTCGAATGCACAATATAATTCGTTATAACACTTCCAGACGCTTTGCAAATCGCAGCACAGCATGAGGATATTGCGTCGATCTCTATCTCCTCTGGCTTTATCTAATCAAAAAAAGCTGTCGTTGCTTTGTCGCTGCTCCGTATTCTTATGTATTGGCCATTCAGGAATCATTCAAGAACTTGCTGCCTATCCGAGACCCGTCACGAGAGAGAACCTTAACCATGCGTTTCAACGTCTTGGTTGCTCTGTTTGTGGCCACGTTTGTCGCAAGCGGCGGTAGCTTCATAACCGCAGAAACGGACGCTTTGGAAGACAATATCTACAACAGCAACGAAGTGGCTCGCCGTCTTCGTGGAGATAATGAAGTCCAAGAGGAGAGAAATGGTTTAACGGAAGCGGTTAAGAAGGATCTGCCTGGTCTTGAAAATGTTTTGAAGTCTGAAACAACTTACTTTGGTCAACAGACCCCCGAAGTGCTTGAGCATTTTGCACAACTTGATAAAGCTCAATTGGTTCATAATTTCCATACAGAGTTCGGTCCCAAAGGCGTGGATAGACTGGCTAAGAAAGGAGTAACCGTGGAAGGTGTATTGGAAAGAGACCCTGCAATGATAAAGAAATTGATGGATTTGGCTATCAAGGGCGCCAAAGGAAAAACGCATTGGTTTTTGAAGACATTGAAGTATATGTTCATGGCGTTTGGTGTGGTTGGTGTCCTGTTTGTCTTAGTTCGCTGGTCCTTGAAAGCACCTCCAAATACGACCCGAGATTCCACGGCAAAGAGCGGAAAGACGACTACGGCCAGTACTTAAAAACTCTCAACCTTTACTGATTGGGTGCCGACCGCATGGAGTAGCTTGAATGATTTGAAAATGAAAGCGCGTCTTGCTTGGACTATTTGGAAGTGTATCCGAGTTTGCATCGTCTTGACTGTGTAGGACTCGACAGGTACTAGTCGATAACATACATTTTATGCCTTTGTTTGCTTTTGACATCAGATTATAAATATTCACTTCATGCGAACCATTGATTGAAGAAGTAGAGTTGCATTCGTTCGCCTTGTATACTGTACTGGTAGTGCTTCAGTAGAATCTACCTCGACTGCTGTGGCAACAAAAATACATGCACACGCATCTGATGTAGGACCTTTATCCTTCACGGTGTCTTTGAACAAGCAAAAAAAGTTAAACAAGATATTTTTTCGTGCCTCAGTGGCAAAACTTGTCGACACAGGCCGTAGCAGAACATCGCATGCTACACATGGCAATAGAACCTTGGCATTCGGACATGTATATGGCATTCCACTTGCACTGGTATTACCGATGCCGTCGCAAATTTGGTGGTGGCTGATCTTGAGACATCCATGTCTGTGGTGAACTCACAAATCAATACGGATCAATGAACGGTCTTCTTGGCTACATCACCATGGCTCAAGAAATGAATGAAGCGTCGAAAGTACATCCTAAAAAAACAATCGTTGAGCCACACTGGTCTTCAGCTCACGCTTGTAGTTTTTATCTCTGATACATGCCAGCTTCTTCATTTCTTCCGTGTTCTTGTGCCAGCCAGTCTTTTTCCACGACTTGTCCAGTACAGCTTAACGCTTCAGATTGGTCGATGGACGATCGCTGACCAATTCCCCAGTCTCAAACTCGAGATCGTTGTTGTCACAATCGTCCCAAGCCATGACCTCTCTAATCGCTTGCTCAAACAGCTTACGCACATCACGTCCATTATAGAACACCTCATGATTTACAGCCTTAACAAAGTGGCGACATGCTACCTTCGCTACAGACAGCCTTCTCGTATTTCAACAACAATCTTACGCTATCCCATGCCAAACAGTCTCCTACTACTGGGCATCATAACTCCTCGAACACGACTTGTGATGGCAGGCCATCGATTGTTGTGAGCGCACAACACTTTTGAATGTCGTCTTCGTAGCCTGTGAGAATATATGAGAGGTCATCCTCCTTGTCTTCAACGATCCATCACAATTGGCTTCCCATTGCAGTCACATGCAGAGATCTAGCTCGTACACCTCGTCAATGAACAAAACACCGCCGGTTGCTTGCACGCGACGAAAGTATTTTGTTCGACAAATCTTTGAGTCTTACAGAAAAGTGGTGAACAACCGCGCAACTATTGTTTCTGCAGTACCAAGATTGCCCCACGAAGTAATAGTTGAACGTCATCGAGTATCTTATTACTTCTTGCTTCTTGACGTATAGATAACTACAGCATTACCGTCGCGTCCTTGCATGAACATCTACTGCATGCTTCACCTTCATCAATCCCACCAGCTTCAAGATGCATTCTCCAATTTATCTGATGGGCAACCCCGTAGTGACAATTTCGAGACTTTTATTGTTCTCCTCCACTAATGCCGAGCCGGAAATGATTCAGCCAACTCAACTTGTTTGACCGTCGGTTGTCTGCATCAGCTACCCTTTCACAAAATTCAGCCATAAGACACTTGCCTCTGGATGGAGTGAAGCAAAAATTTCAAGATTTCTTTCGTTAATCATCCGATAAATGGGTTTGACTTCACCGTGCAAACGCAACAATGACGAGCAGGTGCGCATATTCACACACATACGTTCAAGTTTCGATCATGTTTGACAGTCTTATGCTTTCGACAGCGAGTAGCTCCAACGTCAGTAGCAAATTTCCCTCTTTTTTTTCAACTCTCCATGACACTGCAACAGTTGGACGTAATTAGACCCACAAAAGAGGCCGCACGCAAGCTAGTCCTGATAAGTATTTGCAACTTTTGTGGAGATAAACCTCAGCTTAGTAGCATAAGATTCTCGATTCGTGGGGAAAGTTACATCGGCTGCTCCGGTCGACATCGATTTTACATTTTATGGATGCAAACGTTCAATTCTTGTGCATTGAACTCACCAATAAATTAGCAGTCGTAGTCTCTTCGACATGTGGAAGGCATTAACTTCACAGCATCACGTTGTATTTCTTCCACATTTTCTACTTTAAGGTGGCTCATCAACTTGTGTTTCCATCCAACTTTCTAAAACTATTCTGCCCGTTCGATTCAGTGACTTTTACTCAGTAAACAGGAAAGATAAGACGTCAGTTTTGTCATATCCTCCACCTTGCCAGACTTTGCGTCGCGATATAGATCGTTGCATTCGTGAAATGACTGTCAACTCACCCAAAAGCTCGTGCGTTTACTCCTTTTTTCCTTTGTTTTGAGATATCGACAGGTCTTTTCTTGTCGGTTCAATACGACAAACACTGGAAATTTTCATTGACGAGGAGAGAACGTAGGACTTAAATCCTAGCCTTGCTTGATCTCTTCCGCAATGTAACCTTCTAAACCACAGAAACTCGCGTGTGCTGGAAGAGCTCATAGTAAAACATGTTCCGTTAAACCTTGATAGAAATCGAGCCAACTCTAGAAACCACGGACAGTCTTATACTGCTCAAAAATGCTAAGCTTCTTCGAATGCAGTATATATGCGAGTTGACAAGCACCAAGGACAATCCGACGGACTTTCGCTACTACAAAGGCGTTTGGAAAATGAGGAAGCCCTCTTGAGCAAAGTTAATTTCGTCTCCTTGGCATATTCCACACTGTTTGCCGACCATTTGCTCGGCACCATGACCTTACTGCCACAGCTCGTAAAAAAACAGCAAGGTTTTTAACCGACTCATGGCAACTCACACTGTCCCACCATCCAAATGTTTCATCGCGACTTCGTGCCCAAAGTTCTGTGCTTTTTCAGGACACGGACACAGCACAAACTCAACAATTGCTAAAATTGTTAAACGCGTTGCAGCATTTCATCTCCCTATGTGTGGTCCAACGGAAGCGCATAGATATTTTTCCAGTATGAATCTTTACCACCCCTGAGCATCGATAAAATATACTATCTTCGTGTAGCAGCTTCATCACTGCAGTCTGCACTTGCCACGGTTGGCGTGCACTAAAGCAGCTTGTGATTGTTCAACCAATAACAGCTTTGCTCTCATACACACGAGAACTCACCAAGAATTTTGCGCTGTAGTACCAATTCTAGGCTTCGAGTTCTTCATGAACGCATGTTGTATGCAAGTACTGAAAGCGTTCCGTCAAGTCATTTCCCATCACTAGTTGCTGGTGATACTTGGAACTCTGCCAGAGCTAAAGGAGCCTTCACTGTAAATTGCGTGATCTTTACAGAACAACTGAATTATGTAAATCCTGCGCTTTTCCGCCGAGCACAAGTGCAGTTTGTACAAAAGCTGCTTGTATAGCTGCTTGTTCGTTACACTTCCACTGCAAAAATGTTATCCATATGTATGAACTTACAGGAGTGCTTTTGGCAGAATTACTCACGCAACGCACACACTCGAGCATAGTTTAGAGCTCGTGCAAATGGCAAAGAGCAAAAGACTGAGATACGCTGGCCAACACTTTTTAATCGTAGTGCTTGATGACTTTGTGTAAGCTTACGATATTTTTATTCGTCAACATCGGCTTCTTGTTCAATACATACTCTAACGGTCTCGATAGTAGAAGGTAGAAGAAGGGTACATAAGTTTTTTGCGCTCCATAGATTCGAGTAGGTCTTTGTGTTGGTCTTGGTAATTGCTCGCACGACATTGTCCACCAATTTTCGTACTAGCTACCTGTCAGCTACAAAAGCATTGCCACGATCGAAAGTGCCACACAATCTTCATACTTTCTGGATGTAGGGATTTCGCATCACCACCACCAAGTTGAAGCTCCAATCACCACAAGATTTAGCCCTAGTATGGAAGCGATGCAGTGACAAACCTGTGCCGTTTCTTGCAAAGTCTTGGTTGATCAGAATGCGCTTTAGAGACCTCCCTTACATTTAAGTTTGAGACGGCAACATTTTGCTCTCGAGATTGCTCTGTTCGGCTTACGCTACTGCGTAGGACTCAGTTAAGGACATTTCAAAATCAAATATCGTCCAAAGTTGGCCATAATCTCTTTGGAACATGGCCCCGTCTTGGCTCCGGTCGGAGCAATCAGAACCTTAACCAATTGCGTGGTTCTCTACAAAAGAACCACAGATCGAAGAACTCCCAATTTCGCGATTGCTCCGTATTCATAGATCTCCGATACCAGCTATGAACGAACAACTATGACACCTAGTACGAGGTTTTCCTGTACCGGTGATCTTTCAGTCAACGCCCCTGCCAAACTCTCCGCTAATGCTCGTTGTATGTCCAATCCAAGAAACAACTTTCTCATGTTTCGACGCAGAGCTAGCCAAAGCCCCACGTCGGTTGCTCATTTTGTGCAATTGAGGTTCTGCGCTGTGCTCGTAAGACGCATCACGTACGCAAATCGAATCTTCTTGATATATTTCATGATTTCTAGTAGATGTTCACTGAATCGGGTGGTGCCGTTGGGGGCTTAATATAGAGCTTGGTCATATCGTTGTGGTACTGCTGCTCCTGTTTCTATAGAAACTCACCTTCTGCTATTTCGCTCGCTTGATGATCTTGTCATTTACGTCCGCGACGACCATAACCAGCTGTATCTTGTAGCCCTTTTGTGCGCTCCGCCACACGACGGAGGATATCTTGACTGACAAAAGATCGAGCATGGCCTTGATGCGCACGATCGTACTTTTTTAGCTAAGCACCATTTCACTGCTTGTTCTACTCGAACGATCTTGCCATAGATAAGTACACTAATTCTATCACTTGACGATAACGTGAACCAGAGAAATGGTTTTCTAAAGGTTCCTATCAGCCTGTAATAGTAGACGCATGATTCTTCCATCGAGCACTTGTAAGGCAACGTAGACCTAAGTCAAATCCACCTTCACTTTACTTCGTTTTGCTTGTAATGAATGAATGACAAGGTAGCGGAGACGACGAGACCCGTGTCCGGCTTGGAGACATGAAAGAACAAGTCTTGGCAGCGGCGAGGCGACAGCAAACAGAAGAAGATTTTGAGCTCAGCTGCGTTTCATCGTGGTTCGGCGTATCTCCATATTCCTGCTCTTCTACTTTATTGTCATTCGTTCATCGCAGTGCAAGTCCCGCGTGACCATATACATGAAGCTGCAGAGAGCACGCTAAAAAGCAAAGGCTGTAGTCATGTGACTTTAACTTTCTTTTCTCGAGAATTTCGTCTGCATCCCGCAACGCCGAAAGCACAGATATGGCTTGCCGTCTGCATATGTGACCGGACCATTCACAAAACTCCATCATCGTCTATGCGCTGACAAACTTTGGCCTAAATGATGTTGTTCTTCGCGTCTGAATCCAATACACTTTCATCGCGCTGAATCCAAAGAGGGCGAGGAAAGCCGTCAACACGGAAGATAAGTAAGGATAACCAGTCTGATGTCACTGCCAATCAAACAATGGACATTGCTGTCATCCTTATCGGACTTGCCTGCATCATATCGAGGTGACCAGTTTGCCTCTAATCGTACTCCAGACATGAACGCGACCTTGAACGAGTCATTGCCAAAGGCTTGCAACCCAAACTGACAGACCTCGCACGTACGAATGCGTTCAGTGAACGGCCTTGAGTAAACGTAGATCTTCACAAACCAGAGAAGCACGAGTTGTTACGACAGAAGAAACAAATCGCATTCCGATGTGTAAAACGGGGTTATGCGGCGACCATGACTGTGACGTCGACGTCAAGAGAGACGACTGCCCGTCAACGTTGTCGGTAGATTTTTTTCCGCTTCCAAGGCGATTGCTGCCGTAACGGACCCGTCCGATTCGTTAAACTACTTACTGATCACTATGCCGAATTTTGACGATCGGCGAAGCGTGGCGATGTTGTAACATTGGTCGACAAATTGTTGGAAAGTTTGCACATCATACGACGGTGCTGTCAAGACATGGGATTAGCGGGAAGGAGGGAGGGCAGGGACTCGATTTAACGGCTTGTCAACAGCTGATGATGGTCAAACTATTGAATCCTTATGATTCTTAAAGGTACGTCTGTCTGTAAAGGGATCACCTCTTAATTTCTGCCATGACTACGTCGTTTTCCTATGCACTAGCTCATTCTACTGGCTCAACCCAACGAGCTTCACGAGGGACACTTCAAAAGGGCACGTGGGACCGTTTGACTACACCCGAGCACATGCAAGGGGGTAGATGGTGCCTTGAAAAAAAGTGAGGCTGGGTATTAAACCGGCTTTCCAAGACGAGCAAGAACCAGCCGGACTTCTCCCTGACATGCAGCTCCTTTCTTTGAATTGGAACAGACGGAATCACGCTCTTGAAGAGTTGGAACCAGGCTTGGCACTAGGCAAACTAGCCAGCGCCTTAGCAGACTGTAAGAGTAGAAACTGATCTAGAATCGATACATTGTTCATGGCTCTTCCAACACTCTCTTCCTTCTCGAGTCACACGTTGTAGGAAAGCCCAAGAAAGGTTGAGGAGAGCCGGCAGCTGTCGTTTGTAATCTACAGTAGAGGATTGAGGTTTTCCACAACCGGGTGGGGACCGACATAAACGAGTGACTAGAAAGACTGCTTGCAATATCGTGCGTAGACACAAGAGACCATGAAGAGCTTTAAAAGCCATTCTTTCAACACTACCATCAAACAACGATTCAGAAATAACGACCTGATCGCCAAATTTCGATTCATATCATGATTCGCACCTTGTTCTTCATTACAGATAGAGTCGAATGCACAATATAATTCGTTATAACACTTCCAGACGCTTTGCAAATCGCAGCACAGCATGAGGATATTGCGTCGATCTCTATCTCCTCTGGCTTTATTCAATCAAAAAAAGCTGTCGTTGCTTTGTCGCTGCTCCGTATTCTTATGTATTGGCCATTCAGGAATCATTCAAGAACTTGCTGCCTATCCGAGACCCGTCACGAGAGAGAACCTTAACCATGCGTTTCAACGTCTTGGTTGCTCTGTTTGTGGCCACGTTTGCTGCGAGCGGCAATAGCTTCATAACCGCGAAAACGGACGCTTTGGAAGACAATATCTACAACAGCAACGAAGTGGCTCGCCGTCTTCGTGGAGATAATGAAGTCCAAGAGGAGAGAGGTATTCCTTTTTTCGGGGGAAAATCAGCAATCGAAGGAAGCGAAAAGTTTTTCGAGGGTTTTAAAGCAAGCGAAAAGCTTTCAGTAAACGAAGGGAAACTAGCTACTGAGTTAGAGGGACTGAGCCCTAAAGGCATTGCCAGACTGAGTAAGAATGACATTAAGGCAGTGGGTATATTGAAAAACGACCCTGTAATGATGAAGAAATTGACGGATTTGGCTATCAAGGGCGCCAAAGGAAAAACGCATTGGCTATTGAAAACGATGCAGTATGGGCTCATGGTTGCTGGTGTTATCGGTGTCATTGTGGTCTTGTGGAAATGGGCCAACAAAGCACCTCCAAATACGACTTCACATTCTACGGCAACAGCTGCACATCCGGCAACAGCTGCAAATCCGGCAACAGCTGCAAATTCGGCAACAGTTGGAAGTACGGCATCAGTTGGAACGACGACTCCGACCAGTGCTTAGAAGCTGTGAATCTTCACTGAGTGGTGCTAACCTACCGCATGGATTAGTTTGTTCACTTTGAAGATGAAGCGCGTCTTGCTTGGACTGTTTGGAGGTGTGTCTGAGTTTGCATTGTCTTGACTGTGTAGGACTTTTCCGTTATCGACACTAATCGATAACATACATTTTTTGCATTCGTTTGCTTCATTTGCTCCATAACCCATTAATTGAAGTGTTTAATGGACTAGAGTTGCGTTTGTTGTACTTGTATACTGGGTACTGGCAATGCTTGAGTAGAATCTACCTCTACTGGTTGACAACAAATACATGCACACGCATTCTTTCGATCTGAAGCAGGACCTTTATCCTACACGGTGTCTTCGAACAAGATTCCTTTCGTCCTTTAGTAGCAAAATTCGTCGACACAAACATCGCATTCGACACAATAGAGACTTGGCATTTGAACATGTATATGGCATTCCACTTGCACTGGTATTACCGATGCCGTCGCAAAAATGGTGGTGTACATCGGCTGCTCCGGTTGACAACGATTTTTCATCCCATGGATGGAACTCTTAGTTCTTATGCAACGGACTCATCGAATCAACTAGCACGTCGTAGCTCCTCAGGTCTTTCTCCGAGTGTGGATAGCATTAATATCACAGCATCAAGTTGCGAATCTTCCACGTTTCCTACTCCTATTGAGCTTTTCAAAGCTAATCGCCTGAGGTGGCTCATCAACTTGCGTTGTTTTTCCATTCAACACTTCAAAGTATTTTGCCTTTTTGATGAAGTGTTTCACCTTGATGAATTGAAAGTAAGGCATGGGTTGAGTGAGACATCATCAAGTGCTATTGTTTTAGGATTTTGTGTCGCGATATCGAACGTCCTATCCGTGAAATGACTGTCGACTCATCCAAGCTCGTGCGTTTACTCTTTTCTTCCTTTGCTCTTAGATATCGACAGGGCTGTTCATGGCTTTCCACGTATAAACGCAACCGAGCAAGAGATACATTTCGCTGCTTACAACTAGCTCGAAGTTTGTTTTCGAGTAATTGCGTAGCTACGACCCCGTTAAATGTTGCGGACTCTGGAATCTCTCATTTCGATTTTGGTGATCGAATGTGCTTGCAACTTTCGGTTCAATACGACAACACTGGAAACAAATTCACTGGCGGGAAGAGGGCGATCAACCATTGTACCACATAATAATCTTGCTTGATCACTCCAGCAATGCACTGGACGCACAGAAGTTTGCGTGTGCTAAACGAGCTCATTGGTGGTCCGATGGAAACGCATACAGGTAGACGATGAAATTGTCGTATGTACGAGAGCAAAACTGAAATAGAGGATCAACCACAAGGTGCTTGACGCGACCGTTTTTAACGAGTTAGTGACAAATGTTGAAATCTATCGATATCTCATGCAGTTACAATGTCATTTATAACGTGCAACTGTCTTTATTGACAGATCGAGCAAGATGCATCTGCGTCACTTGTTTGTGGCTCCTCGTTAGCTAGGAAGGTTCAGTATACATGTGTCTTTACGGCTCCGCTTCCGTGAGAACCTCCTTGATGATCGACGTGCACTCATCGAGCTGCTTTTCGGTCATGACAAGCGGGGGTGCAAGCCGAATGATGTTGCCGTGAGTAGGCTTGGCCAGCAGACCTTTCTTGGTCATGTTCATGCAGAGCTGCAAAGCGTCCGGCTGGTTCGGACGTTCGTTGATAATGATCGCATTCAGCAAACCGCGGCCACGTACACCTTGAAGCACACTCGACTTGAAGCTGCAAAACATGAGGGACAACCAAGTATTAAGATCAGTCAGTGAGAGAATAATCATCAAACCCAATCATAGCAAGACGACCAGATGCATTTCACGTACTTTTCCATCTCGTTTCGAAAGATATTGCCGAGTTTAAATGCGTTCTCAGCAAGATTTTCTTCCTCAATGACTTTCATAGCCGCCATAGCGACCTTACAGCCAAGTGGGTTACCACCGTACGTCGATCCATGTTGACCGGGTTTGATCGTCAGCATAACCTCGTCCCTCGTAAGTACAGCTGAAACTGGATACATTCCACCGGAAAGTGCTTTGCCTAGAATGACAATATCAGGTTTCACGTTTTCATAATCCACTGCCAGCATTTTTCCAGTACGTGCTAAACCCGTTTGCACTTCATCAGCAATCCAAAGTACATTGTATTTGGTGCAAAGGTCACGCACACGTTTGAGATACCCATCATACGGTACAACAACACCAGCTTCTCCTTGAATAGGTTCGACCATAAACGCAGCAATAGTTGGCCCTTCTTTTTTCAATACCTCCTCCAAGGCATCCGTATCATTGTACGGAATACTACTAAACCCTGGCATAAAAGGTCCATAGCCACCATATGCTTCTTTGTCATTCGATGATGACACCGCACTTAAGGTCCGACCCCAGAAATTATTTTTGGCAAATATCACTTTTGCTTGATTTGCGGGAACCCCTTTTACGTCATATGCCCAACGACGGGCCAGTTTCACAGCGGTTTCACCTCCTTCAACACCGGTATTCATGGGTAAAATCCGATCAAATCCAAAAAGAGTAGTCATATATTCTTGATATTCCCCCAATACATCATTGTAAAAAGCACGCGACGTGAGGGTGAGAGTCTGAGCTTGATCGATTAAAGCTTTGACAAGTTTGGGATGACAATGGCCTTGATTTACAGCCGAATAAGCACTCAAAAAGTCATAATACTCGTTCCCTTCAACGTCCCAGACTTTGCATCCGCGTCCTTTCTTAAGTACGACCGGTAAGGGGTGATAATTATGAGCTCCACATTTTTCTTCTCTTTCAATGTACTAAGTGCGACAAGAACATATGTTTTTATAAACATTTGGGATAGAATACTGTAATAATTAATATACTAACGATACCTGCTGAGCCGTCCAGATACTACGATAGGAAAAGGTACGAAGCTTTGAAGCAATACATGGAAGTTTTATAATGGTGGTGATCGATTTCATGCTGGAAGGAGAGTGACGTGGAGGTGGCAAATTGGCAAATGACGTTGCTTAAGTATGTTTGCATGCGCCTATTCGAACTTAAGCTTGTTCGCTCGACCAATCGTAATACGAACAGGCGATATAGAGATACAAGTCACAAGTGGAATTGTGAGGGTAGCTACCTCTATATTTTAATAGATACCTTATCTGAGTTGGTGACGTCTTTGTTGCGACATCTCACGTTTTTACTTGTGGTTTGTATCATATAGTATGATCAAGGCTAAGAGTATTAAATCATACAGGATTTAGAAAAGATTTTCCAGCTGGCCTGGCGATCGTCAACCACGTTGCGTACTTGATTGTCCCAGCACCAGCACCACCTTTGCCAGCCATTCCCTGTCCTGCGCCATGACCAGTCAATAGATCAATAGATATAGCGAGGGCAATAACGTTGCTAGCATTCGTTATTTAGCTACAGTATTTGCATACAAATTCTAGTAGGTTTTTAATAAAGTTTACAAATACTGGTCTCAATACCGGTTTTATCTTGTATACATATCATTCCTACTCGGTATCAATCATACTATGGACACTTCAGAGCTAGACCATGAGCTAAATGATCGACAGGAGTCTGATTTTCCTTCTCATATAATGCACGCAGACATAATTGCTACAGCCTCTAGAGCCGAAGACGAAAGTGACGTGTCTAATCTCATTGAAGACGAGAATGACGAAACAAATCAATGCAGCGATCGCGACGGCCTGTTAAAAGCGTCGATTCTTGAAAAAGTTGCCACGGAGAAGCTCTTACGTCGCTTATTCGACGTATTTATTGATGATTTAGATGCTGCAAAAGATGATGCGGATGCTGGTGACTTATTTGAGGAACTTCCGGAACCATATGGTCAATTGTCAACTTATCAACGTATTCAAATCACCTCAATTCCGGAAGAAGTTGACAGTGAGACAAAAGAGGTGTGTCAACTTATACGAAAATGTATAATTTTAAGAAAAAAGTGGATTACAATTAATGAGCCACAAATGCGACTTGAGTCGACAGAAAAAGTGCAAACTCATGCCCACGCTGTACATACTGCAACTCGATTACGTCATCGAGATGAAATTCCCTATGAACCATTTGAAAACAAAGTACCTGCTACAACACGACACTATTTCGAAATGGTCAATGGTGTTGTTTTGGTATATGAAGATAAAGATGCAATCGAACCAATTAGTCGAGTTGGTGACATGGAGGAATATTACAACGACTTGTTTGAAATCAAACGTATTATCAATTATGGACCGATGAAAACACTTGCGTTCAAGCGGCTGCAAGTACTTGAAGCGAGATTCAATTTACATATGCTCTTGAATTCAGAACGGGAACTTTTGGCTCAAAAAGCAGTACCTCATCGTGATTTTTACAATGTCAGAAAAGTTGATACCCATATTCACCATTCAGCGTGTATGAACCAGAAACATTTGTTGCGATTTATCAAGTCACGACTACGGAACTCACCGGGTGAGATTGTGATTTTTCGTGACGGACGCTTTATGACGTTAAGTGAAGTCTTTAGATCGTTGAATCTTACAGGCTATGATCTGAGTGTTGATACACTCGATATGCATGCGAGCAATACGTTCCACCGCTTTGATCGGTTCAATTTGAAGTATAATCCTGCTGGACAAAGTCGACTACGTGAGATTTTTCTTAAGACGGACAACCTGATTGCTGGCAAGTATTTGGCTGAAATTACAAAGGAGGTCATCTCGGACCTCCATGCCAGCAAGTATCAACTTGTAGAGTGGCGTATCTCTATTTACGGACGCAAAAAATCGGAATGGGACAAGCTGAGTCGCTGGATGTACGCAAACAAACTTTCGTCCCCGCATGTGCGATGGATGATTCAGATTCCGCGACTCTACTTTCTGTACAAAAAGTTGGGTGAGGTGGACAATTTCCAGCAAATGCTCGACTACATCTTCTTGCCACTGTTCGAGGTGACACGGGACCCGTCGAGTAATTTACCGCTACACTACTTTCTTGAGACCATGGTGGGCTTCGACTGCGTGGACGATGAGAGTAAGGCGGAACCTTTCCGATCTGAGCGTGGTAAAAAGCTACCAAAGCCGCAGGAGTGGAATTATGAAGCCAACCCGCCGTACGACTACTGGTGCTACTATTTGTACGCCAACATTGCTGCTCTGAATGAATTCCGCCGGCGGAAGGGTCTCAACATTTTTTCATTGCGACCTCACTCCGGCGAAGCTGGCGACCCCGAGCACTTGGCAGCTGCTTATCTTACTGCTAATGGCATCAATCACGGCATCACGCTTCGTAAGGCTGTCGGTCTGCAGTATCTATATTACCTCACCCAAATTGGCATTGCCATGTCACCACTGAGCAACAATCGCTTGTTCCTTGCCTACCACCGCAATCCGTTTCCCATCTACCACGCGCGTGGTTTGAACGTCTCACTTAGTACTGATGATCCCGTCATGCTCCATTACACAAAGGATCCACTGCTCGAGGAATACTCGGTAGCCGTTCAGGTATGGAAGTTGACATCCACGGACATGTGCGAGATCGCGCGCAACTCAGTATTGCAGTCGGGTTTTGAGCACAAGTTTAAGGAGCATTTCCTCGGCCCCCAGTACACACTACCTGGATCGCGTGGCAACGGTGAGTACCTGCTTGTACTGATTCTTCTTTGATGTTTGCTAACGCAACTGCCCATTTCTAGACATTCGAATGTCAAATGTGCCAGACATCCGTGTGGACTATCGCCACGAGACACTCCAAGGCGAGCTAGCGTTCATTCAAACGTAAAGCGCCGTTTCAAGTAAGGAGACTTGCAGCCTCAAAGGATAGGCCGGTATACAAGAATACACGTTTCTCGATTGATTTTTATGTGGAACATTGACTTCGTAATGAATCTAGCATGGTCTACATTCAACCACCAGGCAGAAATACATTCCATTTGCTAGATTACTGCAGCTTGTCCAGAATACGCAGGCCCTGCTCCTCGTACTCGCTCTTTAGCAGCCAAAAAGCGTCGTTGTCCTTCATGACATCAGCCAGCACACTACCACCAAGAAAGACCAAGTGTTTGCGGCGGGGCGGGTCGTTAATGCGCAGACGAAATTTACTCAGACGGCTTTTGTCTCCCTTTAGCACATCGGTCAGGTACCGCTGTTTGATATCCTTCTCCAAACGGCTTGGCAAGCCCGGGTACATACTAGACCCACCAGACAGTACAATGTTCTTGAAAAATTCCGTGCGTAGATCGATGTCAGCTTTCATGCACATATCGAACACCATGTCACTCAGACCAGCACCCTCGACGTCAATTAAGTTGGGTTCAAACAGGGCCTCCGGTGCCTCAAATCGTTCACGACCAAGACGGACGACACGACCATCAGGTAATTCGTACGACTCCTCAAGGATCGTAGTTTCCAAGGCCAACTTGCGTTCCGCAGCCGTGTCGTAAGCCACATAGCACCACTTTTCCTTAATCTGACGAGCTGTTTCAAAGTCCGCAGTACGGTTAAGAGGGTAGCCACGCAGCAGCATGAGCTTAATGAGATAGTTGGTAATGTGGCGACCAGCGACATCCAGACGACAAATGAGGTGTTGCGGCACGTAGCCTTGATAGACCGGTACGACATGCGTGACACCGTCACCCGTGTCAACGACAACACCGGTCGTAATGCCCTGTGCATATAGCGTCAGCATAGCTTGAGTGGTGATATTGCAGCCTTCAAAGCCGTATTTTTCAAACATCATTTCCACAAGTTTTTCACGATTGCGTTTTGGATTGAGAGGCGGTTCCGTGAGTAGAATTCGGTGACCATCCTTCGTATCAATAGCCAGACGTTCCTTGAACGTATAATCCCAGAGCTTTTCCATATCGTCCCAATTCTTGACAATTCCATTTTCAACGGGATACGAAATCTCAAGATTCGATCGAACAGCTGCAGCTTCATCTCCAAACATAATATCCTAGATAGTATAAAGAGTACCAATCACAATTACAGGGTAGGGGGTCAGTGTGAAGTAACAAGAAAAAGTAACAAGTTCATCATTTTACTTTCAGTAGAATATCCGATTGCACGGCTTCTTCAGCCCGTAAAACGGGACGTCCTACAAGAGACGGGAAGATCGCTTTAGGGAAGTTCTCTGCAGCGAATCCTGCTTTGACAAACTATAGGGAAAAAAAAGAAGAAGAAAAAAAACATTAGAGAAAGAAAAGACGTGATACTTAGGAGAGAGGAATGATCTCATGTGAGGGTGACGCACCCCTGTGCCGTTATCACATACGACAATTTTGTTGGCCGCTACCATTTTGGTCTCTTATTTTCAAAGTGTCGATAAGAGCATATTGTAATTGATATCGGTAAGATACCGATATCTGCTGGTAATATCGTATTTAGAAATACCGCGTACTGTAGATCGATACGAAACAGAAGGAAGATGGGTACATTCTTGTACTAATAATTATTCGTTTTTCTTTTGTTTCAACACGTCTACTGTACGGTGCAAAGTGTCTCGCTTTGCAGCACACAAACAACAACTTCCAGCTCCATCTCTTACTTCAGCAGGTTTACTTTTATCCTGTCAAAGTAACTGCATCGATACCCTCCCCATCTCCATGTGATCGGTCGTCATGTACAAGCAAATAAGGTGCCACGTTAAACGCGTCATTTCACGCCGTCTGCCTCATTCGATGTGCTGTCTTGCAATCCAATCCACAGTACTGATCATACCGACTCAAACGACGTTGAAAACACTTGGAACAATTGGTACACCATCGTTGTTCCTTACTGGGTTCATAGCTCGTGGTCGATATGGACGTACTCTGTCCAACTGGCATGCTAAACTTGGCCAAATGATCCAAGCCTCTTGACGTGTCCGCAGACTCGTCATTGTGCCGAATAATCTCATAGATATTACGTTTATAATTTACATGTTCCTCATCTTCTTCACATGCAATGGTATCACGGTGTTCACGGTGAAAAACACTACCGAGTTTATTGCTCAAGTACGTGAGGGAAGTGAGCTTCCGGAGACGACTTGTCTCATTGACAGAGTGGTGAATTATCACTTTTGGAAAACGAATACCACGATAACTCAAGTGAGAAGTACTATAGCGGTTGGAAACTGCTGGATCATGTGCCTGTAGCCACTGCATACTTGGAGCCATGAGTTCTTTAGTCTACGAGGAAGCGTGGATAATCCCAACTGAGGCATTTTACTGAAAGAGGCGAAAAATCTCGATACATAATACCTGTTTATAAAGATAATTCATAAAGGATTATACCGAAACGATTGAAATTCAGTTGGAAAGTAGTGGTAAATACCTCGGCTATTCGATATCCCTGCGATTGAGCATGGAAAAATAAATTACAGCTCATCTGATGAACGCGATGGCGTGCCTAGGATTACAATGCGACTATATGATCTTGCGTAATAAAACCAGGACAATGATATAAAACCAAATAGATTGTACGGGACACGCCATCGTATCCACTAGTTCAACCCACTTCCTATCATGAACAAGTCTATTTCCTTAGTCACAAGTACTACGACTCTTTGCAGTAGAAATCATGACATTTCTAGCATGCAAATCGATTAACGAATGCAACTTTGATCTCACCACGACTCAATTGACGTTACATATGCCCCTTGATTCCTGCAAACAAAGACTCGTGTTTATTAATAAAGTAACCGGTTCGAGAGTCGGAGGCGTCTGCATGCGATATGCAACCAATCTGATCAGGCCCTTTCGAAGCATCTTCCTGCAATGCATGAGATCATGCAAGGTCACTTCTGATCCAGTGTTTGTTTGTTTTACCTGAGCCTTATAATGCAAAGTTTCTAATCTCCAAGCAAAATCAATGCGCAGGTGGATGTATTTCTTCCTGTGTTCTAATACTGCTGCTCAACCAGATCCAAGCTCAAGTGTTTATAGCTTCGATTCTAATCACCAATATGGCCACCTCGTGTTTTTACTACCGCTTGTATCCATTGTCTACTGAGTCTTCTTCTCCCATTCATCCATGCGGTGTTTGAGCTCACGTGCGGTCATGCGGCGGCCAATGAACTTGAGAACTTCTTCGATAAGAATCACCGGCAGTGAAAACACCAGCACCATCAGCCACTCATTCAAGTCGAGCGGAATCACGCTAAACGTATCGGCCAGCACGTCCACGTACAGGATGACAAAGTGCATGACAAAAGATACCACCATAGCAATCATGAGGTACGGGTTAGACCAAGGTGGCATGGTAATCAGACTGCCATCTTCAGAAAGCGCGTTCAAAGCGTTGAACATCTCAATAGCCACCAACACGGAAAGCGAAAGCGTCGATGCCGTCTTCTTGCCGTCAGTGAAGTATCGGCAAGGGTCCGACGAAAAGTCCATGCCATCAAAATTGTTGACCGTAAAGTTCTCCCATTCATGGCACTTGGTCCAATGGGACAGCTGGTCGTACGTGATCAGAGTGTGACCATCGCCCGAAGCCTCGTAGTACATGTACCAGTATGCAAAGATACCGACGCAAGCGAAACCCACGTAGATGCCAACAACCATGTATCGGAAGAACACCCAACCGGTGATCAAAGCGTCATCGCTGCGACGAGGCGGTTTCTTCATGATGTCAGCATCAGGCGGGTTGAAACCCAACGCAGTGGCTGGAGGACCGTCAGTAACGAGATTCACCCACAGAAGCTGCACTGGAATAAGACCTTCCGGAAGGCCCAGAGCAGCCGTCAAGAAAATCGCGGCCACCTCACCTATATTTGACGAGATCAGGTAGCGAATGAACGCTTGCATGTTGTTGTAAATGGCTCGGCCCTCCTCCACGGCAGCCACAATCGTAGCAAAGTTGTCATCAGCGAGAACCATGTCTGCAGCCTCCTTTGCAACCTCCGTACCCGTAATACCCATAGCGATACCAATATCAGCTTGCTTCAAGGCAGGTGCATCATTCACACCGTCACCAGTCATAGCTGTTATTTCGCCCAGCTGCTTCAACATCTTCACAAGCTGTTGCTTGTGCTTCGGCTCCGTGCGGGAGAATACCATACCATGGGCGTCCGAAAGGTACTCGTTACGCTTTTCCATTGGCAGAGCGAAAAATTCGGCACCGGTAAAAGAGCGCGTGGTAAGATCGTCGTCTTCATTCAAAATGCCAATTTTGTAGCAAATACTCTCGGCGGTCAGCTTGTTGTCACCTGTGATGCACATAACGCGAATGCCGGCTGTGTGACACATCTCAATCATGGGGCGCACTTCGGGACGCGGGGGGTCCAGCATGCTAACAAGACCAATGAAGGTCAAGCCAGATTCAATTGCGGCAAAGTTTTCAGTCTTCTCAAGCAACTTGTGCGCTGGGTGGTGACGGTCGCCGTCGTACGCACCGAGTTCGCCTAGGTCCTCTTTTTTCGCCAGTGCTAAACAACGAAGCGACTTGCGAGCTAGAGTTGACACTTGGGTCAGCAACACCTGGCGGCCAGCATCAGTTAAAGGCTTCACGCTTCCGTCTCCCAGCTCAACATAGGCACATCGGTCAATGAGACCTTCGGGGGCACCCTTTACTAGCAAGATATTGTGGTTCGAGGTCGACGAGCGGGTAGCGCGCTGCATTGAAGCACCAGACTTTTCACACAGCACCGACATTGACTTGCGGTCGCGCGAAAACTCAAGGATAGCCAACTTCTTGCTCTGCTGCTCTATGTGCTCATTACAGAACTGAGCAGCCTTCCCAGGGTTGTCAACGCGGAGCGACTGCATCTCTGCCTGTTTCACAGCATCCAAAGGGAAGCCAATCTTCTCCACGAGAACTTTCAAAGCAGCTTCAGTGGGCTCCCCAACACGCACATATTTACCGTCATGATACTCGATAGCCGACTCATTACACAACGAACAGACAGCCGCCAACGAAGAAACAGCTTTATACTGGGACAACGGAGCGCCTTCAATCTTACCGATTGGAGCGTACGTGTGTCCCTCAACGTCATACGTCACCAGCTCCGTCTCAGATGAACCAATATGAGAGAACGTAACGCAAGACATTTCGTTCGTAGTGAGTGTCCCCGTCTTGTCCGAACAAATGACCGTCGTGCAGCCAAGTGTCTCGACCGATGGCAGCTTTCGTACAATTGCATTCTTCTTGGCCATTTTGCGCGTACCCAATGCAAGACACGTAGTAATGACAGCAGGAAGACCTTCCGGAATTGCAGCAACGGCAAGTGCTACTGCAATCTTAAAGTAATAGATACATCCTTTAAAGACCGATCCATAGATCGGATCAAAAAAGTTCTTGTAATTAATCACCCACACAACAATGCAAATGACGGCAATAACTTTGGACAAAAGCTCTCCAAATTCATCCAGTTTCTTCGACAATGGTGTCCCTTCTTCTTCCTTCGATGCTTCTTGTACAGATTGTTGAATCTTTCCAATCTCTGTTTTCATACCAATTTGTGTCACAATGCCACTACCAAGGCCATTAACGACCACAGTAGCAGCAAACAACATATTGGTCTTGGCTTGAATAATATTCTCCGTATCTTTTGGTAACGCATCAATGCCTTTATTCACAGAGGTTGATTCACCCGTCATTTGAGCTTGTTCAACACGAATTGCAGTTGTTTTCATGGACAATAAACGGAGATCCGCAGGGACTTTATCACCCACACGAATCTCGACCACATCACCTGGGACAAGTTCACGTGCTGCTAACGTTATCATTTCCCCATCGCGCATAACACGGGCATTCTCCGGCTGTAAATCTTTCAGCGCTTCAAGTGCTGCTTCTGCGTTTGACTCCTGCCACACGCCGACAATGGCGTTAAGTACGAGGATTACAAGAATTACAAGTGGTTCAACAAAAGCACCAATGCCTTCACTCGCACCGTCTTCGAGCATAGCCAGTGCAAAGGAAACGACCGCTGCACCCAATAAAATCTTGACAAGTGCGTCATCAAATTGTTCCAATACAAGCTTCCATAGAGGCGTATTTTCTTCCTTAGCCAATTCATTGTAGCCATAGATACTACGCTGTTTCTCTGCCTCTGCCGTACTTAACCCTTTCCCTTCTATGACATTAAAATGCTGCAGCACCGCTTCGGGTGTCTCAAGTTCATAACGGAAACCGTCGTCGTCGTCTCTCCCTTCCATGCCTGTCTGTGATATGGCGTCTCTCCCCTTTTTCTTCTTCTAGGAAAATGATATGTGCGAATTCGATGCCGCGTGGCAAAAAGATCACTCGATGGTTATTAATAGCGCACTTAAGAGGGAGATCAAACCCTGGCAAAAAAGATATAGCTGCACTTTATCTACTTTTTTGTAAGAAAACGATTGAAATTTATTTTTATATCGTTAGATGTTTTAATTCGTCGTAAATTAAAAGGCATCGTAAATTATTAGTAGCATGAATTAGTGTGAAAAGAAATTGCCGATGGAACCTTTACCAATAAGTATATCGTATATATTAATTTTCACAAGACTAGAGAAACACTGCTTAGTCAGAACATTTCTTAGCAATACCGTCATACAATATGGGGCACCTATACAACCTCAATCTGTTTCACCATACAGAGGTCGCACAAATGAAAAAGTAGAAGCTTCTCGACGACTCAATTTTTTCACTTCAAGCACCAACGCGTTGTCCTTTTCCACTACAATGATATTCTTTTGCGTACGTCGTTCTTGCACGATCCAGTCGTTATAGCTTGTTGACAGTCGATGCACGACAAATTTATCACTTCCATAGCCATCAACATCATTGGCGACAAGTTTATCATTGCGAACGCACACCCATTGCTTACCTGCGTCGGAGGAAGGAAGCGTTGAAAGCAAAAACGAACCGTTTTCAGCAGGGTGCAACTTGAACAGACTTTTCGCGTCCTCCCTGTGTCCATCACGAGAAATCAAACGGAGTTCCTTTGATTCTGGACACACACTCACCAATTGTGCTCCATGTTCGAGACGAACAATTGTATTGCCCATCAACATGTCCATCAAACTTGATACGTCGATCCAAACATATGCGGGTTTGATTGATTCCTTCCGGACCGTCATTTGAAATTTGGCATCAATAGTGCCTGTAAATGCTTGTCTGTGGTTGCAAGCTGCCACAATACCGAACGAGAGCACACCCGTAAGTGGATGCACCCAAATATGCGCATCCGTTTGGTGGTCAATTTTCATGTCGACATCGCACATGTACTTTGCTTTCGGTAGAGCAATTGATACCGTTTCGGTACAACTCGCCACCATCGAGACATTATTTGTTTCTCCTTCAGTAAGCCCAGCTCGCTTAGCGAGGGTCTGGGGCGAAACGATTGCATTCTCGTAGCTGATAGCCGTAAACTGGTCCGTCGACGCGTACGCTCGATAGTAGCGACCTTTGTCTCGTTCACTCACGACAACTTCGTGACTCACTTCAAACACCCCCAGAGCGTCCTGCTGGCCTCGTAGTTTATACTCGTTCCGGTATTTCACAGCATCATAGCTCTCTCCGGTAAAAGAAAAAAGCTGCTTTACCTTTTTCTGGTTGTAGTCATACAGCCGAGTGTAGAAATTGACATCAGCTGCGGCAAAGTTTGTGCGCTGCTGCTGTAGTTTTTCCGCCATATATCTGTTAATGTTTTGGTCTTCCACGCTTGAAACAGTCGCACTTCCAGGCAATTTGTCATCGCTGAAGATCACTCGCTTGGACTCGTTCCATGCCGATAAATACTTTGCCAAAGAGTTCAAATCAGCCTTGAGTTTGATTTTCGCATAGCGACTGAGATCGCTTGTAAAGCCACTGCTTAGGACGTCAAAATTGCGAATGGCCTCTAGTGTCAGCGCGTGGAGCACTGGGTTCACCACCTCGAAAGGCCACACCATGCAGTCGCAAAACCCATCGACGAATACATCACGAAAGCGGTCGCACAAGTACCAGTTGATCAAACAAAGCGCGCGTGTTTCATTAGTCTGCTCGATCGTCTCGCTCATTGTTCTTTCAATGAAAATTGGAAAGTAGGCAGGACTTTTCGGGTCCAACGGTTGCTCATCCACTGCCAGCATCAACTGCCATTCATCAATTGCCATCAGCCAACTGCCGCCAAAATCAATTCCTAACTTTCGAAATAAAAGCAGTCAGCATTTTCATATTTTTGCTTGTAGCTGGCTACCCTTGACTGTGATACTTCCTATTGCGTGGCTTGAGAACTGAGGTGACTCGGGGCGTCAGCGAAGTAAGTTTGTAGAATGAATGCGCGCGAGAGCAATGGCTCGATCTCGTTCTCCACCCAGTCTTTTGTCGGCAATCTTTGCAAAAAGAGCACTAGGTCCTGAAACTCTAGCATCTTGAGCGTCTCGCCAAATGTCATTAGAATCGCAGCGCACACGTACACATGAAAGCTTTCAAAGCCCGAGTCTTCACACATGTATGTATCCCAGATGCGCACAATGCCGTCCAGTGGTAACTCACGCATTAACAGACAGTTCATCCAACGAAACGCAAACTGCACAAACTGCACACTTTCACGCTCGACGATATGCTCAAACAGTTCTGCATCGCAACGATGGACTAGATCTTCCATGCGCTGTACCATACGTTGCAGACCTGGCTGGGCAAACGTGTAGTGGTCCTGGATATCGTCCAGCAACTTCGTCAGACACCAGTAGCTGTCCGCCTCAACAATCCGCAAGTTCTCGTCCGACACTTTGGACAAGTCGCATGTCTGGGGATCATCTGCGAATCAACGTCGTGTTAGCTACTTTTAAACATGGCAAGCCATTTCCAGATCACCACCCACTTACCGATAAAAGCCGAAATAAAAACCACTAAGAACGGCGTCATGAGGTCATTGATGCCTTGCACATATCCACTGGCCGGGTGCCGAATTGCCCAAATATACAGAACACGTTCCATACACTTTTGTATAACGTCAACCATCTACCAAACAATAAGTGACGATATACTAATGTCAACCACGTCTCTCACCTGGTGAATACGCTCATTCTGGAAAAGCTTCACGTCAGCATTGGTGCGTGGTATATCGACGAGAATCTGCCGCAGCGTCGTTTGCTCTCGTGTACCCCGATCTGTGTCCGGGATGTAATAATACTGCTGCAGCAGTTCAACGTATTCCTGCCGCTTTCGTTTCAACATCGTGTCACGACGGTCTTTCTTCGACGGCATGTAGCCCTGCATTCGTACACAATATCAAGAAGTGAGAATCAAATACGATGCATCGTGCTATCATATCAAAAAACTACCAACAGCAGCCGCCAGACAGTGGGTCGATGCTTCGTAGGGACACCACCCCAGCTGAGCTTGCGAAGCTGGTCTAGATCAATAAATTCCTTTTCCAGTAGCCGTTCGAATTGCGTATCGCGAAGGTTGCCTGAAGCATTGCGTGATGACGAAGTCGACGCCAACGCCGTGTCAGCAACAAGTGTTCCATTGACATTGTGGTGGTGATTGAGGCGGTGAGGTTTATCGTGTCCCTGAATTGAAACAGTCTCATGTACCTCCTGCTCTGACTCATCTTCATGCATCCCGTGACGGCTTAGAGCATGCCCTTCAAGCGATCTGGAAGCCGTATCACTACTCTCACTATCCACCGATGAAAAGCTTCGTAGCCGTGGCGACACTGAGGCAACGGGAGAAGAAATTATCCTGTCACCACATCATAGCAAATTCAGCTTCCGATTCAATCAACTCTTCCAGCATTTTCACTAATTCGTACATCAGTGGAGCCGGTAACGATGTCGCCCACACAGGAGGTAGTTGCCCCGTGTTCACTTGCTTGACTGATCCAGGTACAGCCTGTGCTTTCTGCTGTGCTGGTGCTTTGTTCTGTCTTCTAGAGAAGAAACTCGAGGTCGCAGCACTGCTCAGACCTGCAGAAAATGATCGCTCCTTCTTCTTCTGAGTAAATTTATGCAGCACCGTCTTGAATGGATTCGAGGTGGCTCCTTGACGAGGTGAGAAGCTTGACTACATTCGTCATAATCACAGTAATTAGCTACTAAAAGGTTAATAAACCCTCATTTCTTCGTCTCATTCAGCTTTACCAAACGATTCGGAGCTTAATAAGTGTCAACACGCACCGTATCTTCACTGGATGATCGGTGATCCGATGTAGCTTCCATTATTGCAGTGAATGGGCTCGTATAGAAGGCGTTAGTACTCGATTATGTGTAGTAAAAGGTCGTGTAGCTGCTGAGAAGGATCTCGATTAATAGCTCTAATTTATCTATGACAGAGCGTACGTAGATGATAATTGTAGGTTAGACACGATGCAAGAGTGCATTGGAAGCATTATATAGAGACTCTAGCGCCATAAAAGCATGTGGTGGCTACGAGAGAGACCTCCCTTTTGACGTACCAGACAGACCCGCCGGATTCTACGCCGTTTTGTCGCTGGTAGCTATGGTGTGGTATACGTAACGATTGGCGGGGTGCACCCCACCAACTTTACAAAATGATGTGTACGGTGCACACCATTCTCCTTTGCGGACCGTTCGAAGTTACGGTAAATAATTAACATATCAAATGTTGCATGTATGTATTCCTTCTTGTCAATAATAATAAGGCAACACATCAAGAGACGGCGCGAAAGCTAAAGTAGCCGTTGGCTCTGATGTAACGGTTCGATTCAGAGCATCACTCAGCGGCTTATTCTTCTTTACCGTGTCGTCTGTCAGATCTCGCAGAGTAAAAATGATTCTGGATCTTAACAATGGACGCCCATATGCGATGGCCCCATATACTTTAGCGGATTTCTCGCAAGATTAGCTCTGCGCTGTGCATGGACATCATAGGGTAAGCAAGTGCACAGAAACTATGTGGGTTTGCCGCAAGGGTCTGTCCGGTTAACGGACATTTCTTTCAAACGGACCGCATCGGTAAAGTCACGCGTTGCTGAGACTCTTGCGTGTGTGGAGGGGTATCAAGTACAGACGTTCTCTGCATACAACAGCTGCTAGTCGTGTCGTCCACTTTAAACAGTGTTGGTCACATCAGCACGACACTTATGCGTCCACTAACATTTTCCGTCGTTGACAGTGACTGTCTATCAGCTGTACAAGTGAGAAGGTAAATGTGAACCAGTTCTGGCAAGTTTCCCGCTAGCGATCGTAGAACGCGATCGCTAGTTGGTTCCATCACCCAACCACGGGCTTTTGCTTGCAATGATAGCAGCGGTAATGCATGAAGCGAACTTCTTGCTTCTTCTTGGCTGCCTAGAAGCCATGAAGCACATTGTCGTAAAGTTCGAACAATTTGTGCGGGCAAATTCCGTGGTCAAATCATCATCATGGCGTCGTCTGCACCAAGATGGTGGCAGCCAGGCATCGATTGTCCAGTGTTGCAGACGCATGGCACCACAGACCTGAGCTGCGACGTTCCTGGCCGCGTTGCTGGACCCTTCATTCTTCCCATCTTGCTTTGTTCTCATTGGCTTTTATGCCTGCAGAAATAGATGGAACGGTGCTATTGGTTGTAAACGTGCAAGGCAAACCAATCATCGGGCAGAATGTTGTCGTACCGTAAAGGATTGGATTTTACCCATTAAGATTGAAGATGGGATGTTGCCCGATCGTCTTACAATCGCACGACCGCATCAAAGCGTGACAACGCAGCAACCGTTACTGGTCATGTGACGGAGACTCAGTAATCTCTCTACAACGCACCAGATGCTAGCAAACTATTATACTAGAGGTAATTATAGCCGTTTATAGCAGGTTGCTTTCACCTGACGATGAAACCATTGCAGCCGGTCGGTGCGATCTTTGCGCAAATGTGGAAGGAATGTGAACAGGAGGTATCTTTTGCAGTAAAAAAACCTTTTTTCTGGAAGTCAGGGTAGGGATTGTCATGGTTTTAGATCGTTTTTGTCAGGCACGGCAGTGCCTAGATGCGACAAAGCCAGGCCAGTCGAGGTTTTATTCTCATGCCAATCTGGATTGTATGCTCTTAGGTTTGACTTGACGAAGCCAGTACGCAAATCAAAGCAAAGTCCTCGCTGTAGCTTTCGACCATAAGGCAAAAGGAGAGTAAGGTGACAAGTCGCAACACGTTCCCACCCACGTTTAAACAAGTAATTACTAAAACAAGGTATGTTGTGTCTGGTGTATCCAACGGCTCTTCTCTACGACGTCCTTCCAACAGTCCAACCAACCCCTCTAACTTATCATTGTCCCCCCTGTCGCTTTAGACACACTTTTGTTTTGATTACAAAGGCACTAGCTACCACTTCAATTTCTAAAAATAAAATTTCATGACCGAATTCATACGCACCATTTGGCAAAATACCGCCAATACCAAGTCGACGTCATCATCTGATATGCAACCCGTGGATCAAATTTACTTACCTCCTTCAACACCTGCAACTTCATCTTCAACAAACGGGATGGAAAAGCAACGTCTTATTAAACTGGAGCCACCCATGTCACCAGTCTCGGACTCTGAGAGCCAGTCAGCGAAAGCTCAACGTCTGGCTCGTGTCAATGCCCGACGTGACAAACGAAAACCATCGGACAGTGTTGATGTGGTCCACACCAACAAGAAACTTAAGACAGAAATGGCGTTAGATTCCAGTGGCGAAGAACGTCTGCGAGCGATGGAAGCGCAATTGGAACATTTAGATCCGGATTCGAAGGAAGCTAAAAAGAAACGACGTCTGATTCGGAACCGAATGTCGGCACAACTTCATCGGGAACGGAAGAAAGCGTACGTGGGTCAATTAGAAGACCAATTACAAGCCAAGGAGAATCAACTTAAGGTGTTACAAGAGCAACTTGCCGCCATGGCGATGGAAAGTGAGCAACTGAAGCAGCAACTTCATCAAAAACAAACCATGGACAAGGAAATACAGATCAAAGCAGAGCCAGTTCCATTGGAAAAAGCGGCACTTTCGGCTCCAGTGACTGTGTCAGAGGACGGACACCCGCCTGTGGATTGGGCAGTTTGTCTGGAAGATGTGGACGAAGCGATGGTTGGAGAGGACCTTCTCTGTGATCTGGACGAGTCCCCACTTGCTGCTTATGGACTGAATCATTCTATTAGTGACGATCCCGTGTCGACCGCATTGGCTGCCGAAGAAGAACGGCAGAAGATCGAGGCACAGACTCAATCTCATTATGAGATTCATGCTGCAAAGAAAAATTTAGCCATGATGATGGCGATGATGTTTTCCGTGACATTTTGTGGACAAGGCGAGTCTGTGGCTAATGTTACAAGTGGGAGCAATTTCTCGTCCATGTTTAATGCTGTTCCGGTGAAGGAATTGTCACAAATGAGTATTGCATCACGTATTGTGGCGTGTCTTGAAAAGACGTCGTGGGAAGATTTCCAAGATGTATCTTCGTGGACGGCCTCGGCCGCTAGTGCCGCTGCTGCTGCTGCTGTTGCGGTGTCGGCGGAGAAGAAGTCACGTTCTTCGCCGACCCAAAAGCCGGCGGACTCGCCGTCTGCAGCATCTGACGTGACGGACGCGGGATCGTGCGGATCTCCGAAGGAACTTGCGGACGTTGGCATGAGCTTTGACACGGATCTGATTGAGGAGTTTGTATACCCAGTGGACGAACCGTTCGTTCCTGCACTTGCTGACACCAATTGGTTTGGCACTGACAGTGCCGACTTTGGCCACAGTGACGTCGAAGGCGACGACGAGCCTATTTCGGAGACCAAGACAATGTTCAAACCCGTGTCGATGACCTCGTGCTTGTACGAGAAGCTGACGAAGCTTTGGAACGAGAAAAATCAGGTGATTCTGACCGTCTTGAACGGCAAGAACGAGGTAACTCGACGTTCGGTGGCTGATATGAGTACAATCCGCAAGGGAATGTCTACCCGTGCTCTGTTCCCGACAACAGCTGCCACTGCGGCGACCTTGTCGACCGACAAGCTACTGAAGACGCACGAGCAGTCGGTCACGTTCCTTTACCCGCTGAGCGCGTTCTCGGAGGATCAGCGCTCGGCTGCTTTTCCTAATGGTGGTGCCTCCGACCAGGTATTTCTCGAGGTGTCGTGCCAGATCAATGATGCGGTTAACCCTGTGCTATAAAGGATTGGCGTGAGGTAGGTAGACATTCAGTATTAGGGAGCGCGAACAAAGCACTCTAGCTTAGTATCTCTTCATTTTCGATGTGGCATGTAGTTACATATCTATCAGATGAACCATAGAATCAAGGACATCGAGGCAAAAAAAATCAATGGTATTTCTGCTTGTGTACAAACATGTATTGTCACCACTGGGACGTCTTCTCCTTTTGCACTTCTACTTGCATTGTAAGAAACTCGTCACTAGCCGGACATATGGAGTGATGCTTCGAGCAATCACGATATTCGTGCATGAGCACAATTCGATTTTTCTGTTTTCGATTACCCATGCACACATGCCAGCACTACGCCATCTCAGAACTCTTGCGTTTCCTGCGGGCTTTCTCGTCGTCACTAGTAGACTGTGGGTGTGGAAGCAGCATCAAATTTGTCGTCATTGCCTCCATCTCCGACGATGCTGGACATCGATCCAAATCAACGCACCCGATTGACGGCATGGGGTCATTCGCAGACCCCCAGCACTCTTTTGATTGACTGCGTACTGTCAAAAGCTGCTCGACTGCCTCGGCTGATGGCAACTCGACGTAAACACACTGCTGTCCCTCCCAGTGAACATTTACGAGTCTAGTTGCAGATTGTAGATTGAGTGCCCACCCCACACAGTGCTTGATGTGGAACGTCTTCAAAGCTGGGCTTGAAATATTGCCATCATTCGGCAAAGGCGTAGCACCGGCAGCAATTGGTGCACGCGTTCGTGTCAACTTCATCCGGACAAACCGAGACCGCGATGGTGTGGGGGTAGGCTCAGGAAACGGACCTGGTAGATCCAGCACATACTTCGGCAGAAACTGGCTCACAAACAACACGTTTCGTAGGCTCTCGAGTGTTTCATCCATGTGCGTTGGGTTTCGATTTGAGTGTTGCGAAGACTTTCCCAAAGAAGCGATGCACTCGTTCGACACTCCCAGACCGGAACACACGCGCAAGAATACGAACCCCGTCATGAATGCGTCATAGCCTGCCTGGTGTGCCTGAAGCAGTACTTGAGATGAACTCGTTAGTTCACTTTCGTACTCACGTGCTGCATCGACACCCCTCACACTTGGCTGCACGCTATGAACATCTGGACCGTAGAATGGATGTTTCGACAATACCTTGAAGCAATTCTCAAGCGCAGTATGTGTCAAATGAGTCGCAAAGGAGTCAACCTTCTGCATAGCGTTTTCAACGAGCGTTTTTGTATCAAAGACACCACCACCCTCACCAAGCCACGTATGCAGCTCTCGCTGAAACTCGGCACAACGCTCTGGTAGTGGTCCGTGGAACTTCTCGTAGCACTGCATGAGATCAAGGAGCATGTTGTGCCCAACGATCGGTTTCTGCGCGGCCACAATGACGTCCAGCACAGCAGTAAAACCAACCAGACTGAGGTTTCGCTCGCGTATCTCGTCGTCTGCGAGCTGTTGGTCAGCTAGCAACAACGCTTGCTTTTGGCATTTCGAACGCGCAACAACAATACGAACTCGCCGTCTCCAAGGATTACGAACGACGTCCTCATCGTCAACGTTGTCCACCTTGCAATCCAGTGCTAAAGCATCTGGAAGAACTTCGCGGAGATATTGCACGAGAGCATGGCGACGGAATGGTGCCAGTGCTTCAGTCACGTAAGCACCGCACGGAGCGAATATCGGATCGGCAGGTACTGGTGCCAGCAAGAATCGCTTCATGGCGGCGACAGTGTCATGTATAAGGTTCTTCTCTTCTACACCTTGCTGCAAATCGTGTTCCGGCATGCCCTCCTCCTGTTGTTCTCTATCATCTTCATCGACAGCCTTTTCGTTTTCCTCCTCAATATCTTCCTCTTTGGCTGCATGCTTTACATCTTCTTTAGCATGTAGCTGTTCCATATAATCTTCCTTCCCATCTATAGCACTGCTAGTCAAAATACTTGCAAGTGGTGTCAAACAATTACGATCTCTCGTGTCTTCACTTCTCTGTCTATTCCGTCCATTGTTCTTCTTTTTATTTTTCTTTCCACCACGTCGTCCACGTCGTCTAATTCCAGTATCTTGCACAACCTCCACCGCCTTCCCAATCGCAGTATCTCTTCTATCATCAAAAAATTCAAGTTGCTGCTGCAATTTGCTCATCAATTGATCCAGAAAAGCTTGTGTTTCGTCCGTAATTAGCACCGATTGTTCCTTATTAAACTTCCTCAATATCTCAGGTCTCGCTGATCTTTCCAGTGCCGATTTGCATAATTCCTGCTGCTGCTCATCATGTGACAAGTACCCGATTCCTCGATCGATCCAAGTGTTCAAATCGAACCCATGGGCTCGAGTATACTGCAGACACTTGGCTTGCACCAAGAACCTTCTGTCTGGACAAGCAGGAACTCCTCTTAGTGTCCCATTGGCTGTAGCTCCTGAGCCGTCGTGGAAGACCGGAAATAGCGGGAATTGATACGTCTCAACCTGAAAACTTTTCGCCTCGGCGTCCCAACTAAAAACCGCGAGCCCAAATTGCACGAGTGGAAACTGCTTGGCACTCTCTCGATATTGAGCATAACGTTCATCAATTGAATCCATGACACTGGGACGTGGTGTTCTATAATACAAAAGAGCAGAGAAAAAATTAACAATTGGTAACAAGAAATTTGTATTGAGATTCGGAGCTTTGGAGCAAGAGCTACGGACTCGTGACAAGAGAGACCGCCCATTTCAGTATCAATCGATACGAATGCACTGCGGTTTATTAGACACTGTAAATGATCGAGCGTTGCTGCGTTGAGCTCGTCACGTCCGAGCTCCTGCACCTGCATATCATACAGCATTTGGCTTGTCAAAAAGAAAGTTATAACTTGAAAATTGAAATTTGACGTCACTTTTCATGGGATGAGGTATTTAACATGTGAACTTATTCATTGTAAAACATTAAAAAGTAGAACGAAATTCGCTACTACGGGGATATTGAGCTTGTTATTCATTGATAGCTATACAGTTAATCGTCTTCATCACTTGAGAATCTCAAGTCTTCCATCAGATCATCACCTGTATTGTCCATGGACAGCCCACTTTCATGACATACGTACGCATACGCATCTTGTCCCACAGTTTCAAGTAACGGTCCCATGAAGACATCTCGAATAACTTGAAGATCTCGACCAGAATCCAAGAACACTGCGGCCACAAGAGCTTCAAACACATCTGCATACATTTTCGGCAAAGAGTGGTTCTTTCCACGAGCTGAAACACCTTTGCTTTTCGCCTTGAGCTTGCTCGATACACCAACAGCTTCAAACGTTGGACTTAGACCGGTACTTGCTTCATTTCGGGCGTACTTTCGCTCGATATTGGTCACGCGATTCATCGTCTCGCGGTCAATACGGACGGCCCCGGCAAATAAACACTCGTCTACACCAAAGCATACCAACGCTGTCTTGCCCAAGGCATCGTTAGATACCGTTGCACTCTTCCATTGTGAGAGTGACCCGGGCAACCATTTGTCGTACATGAGGAATGCATATGATAGGGTCAAGTACTCGATCAAAGCATCACCCAGGTACTCTAGTCGCTCGTAATCACCTTTCCAGACTGTCTTCTTCTTTTTTTGCGTGCGTGATATTACTTCAATGTCCCCAGTACTCGCATCAGCGTCGTTCGCATCCTTCTGGTCAATATGTAGAACAAGCTGACCAACTGATGGGTGCGTCACTGCTTCCAACAGTAGGCGCTTATTGCGAAACGTGTACTTCAATCGTTGCTGAAGAAGCCTAAACCGCTTTGGTAGATCTTCAAACTGCGGTACCTTAAAGTTTAGACTCAACGGGCGTTGAACACCCCCACGAGACGTCATTGCAGCATCGTACAGCTCATTGGGGAAGCAATCCGGGTAAAACGGCTGCGCAAAGTGTGTAGACGGGTGCTCAAGGACGCTGACACCAACCCACTTGAGGAAGTGTCGAGCGCCTTTTTCCCCCTTACCGACCAAGTACGCTCCAGCAATCGCCTCAAGAACGTCTGCAATCCATTTTGATGGAGCTACCACTGGATCAGGCGTCTTGCCCATGCATGATGGCTTCCAGCACTGGAAAGGGTGCTGCTCCACTTCGGCTGGGTACAAAATATAGTGATGAAGACGTGCTGCTAATGCAAACTGATTGAGTCGATCGTTGCGGATGATGTCACGACGAAGCTGCGTCAATTGACCCTCCTGTGAAATATCTTTCCGCTTTTCGTACATATACCACGAGGTCTCGAGTTTTAAAAACGTATCTCCGAGGATTTCTAGTCGTTCATACGCAGGTTTTGTGGTCGCATCGTCTAAAAGTGTCATATCGAGCTCCAGACCAATTTCACCCATGAGGTGTGAGATTTGGCATTTGCGCTCAAATTCATATAGAAGTGGCACCAATCCCATTGCATCAAAAAAGCGGCTCTTCGTCAGGCGCAGGCGCGAGGTGTACTGCGGGATGAGCAAGCGCTCATTAAACTTGGTTTTGTACTGTGCAGTATTTCCTTCGTCGTTATTTCGCTGCATGACCCTTCGAATAATTGGAACAATAGGAGGAACCTGTATACCATGAATCAATGGCTGGTCCGCATCGGCCTCCTCGAGCTGTTGCCGAGTATACCACCGACCAAGAATGGGATTGCCTGGGGTAGATTTTCCTTTTCTTAGATGGGACGTCCATGTTTGCTCGTCTGTCAGGTACTCCTTATGTATATCCTCCATCGTTCGATCAGTACAAGCTTGAACCACATAGCTAACATTAAGGCGATAGGTCGGTACGCAAATCCATTCTTCCATTGCATTTACTGAACCTCCTGTAACACCTGTCGTCGGTAATGGCCACAGTGGCTCGAGTAGTGGTTTCCCAATGATTTCACGAACGTAGTCCCAGTCTAACGATAGCATGGATGGTTGTGTCGTCTCATCCAGCACGCTGGGCACAACCAAGTACCCTTTGTCGTTTTGTTCAGAAAATTCGTTCCACACGTTATCACTTGCAATGTCGACATCACGCATTGCGTCTTCTACACCCATACAAGCTAGACGCATTACCACCAAATGGAAGTGCAGTACTTCGTGCAGCTGTTGCTTTGTTAGAATGAGCTTTAACGGCCTTTTCGCCAGCGTTATTGGCTGGATCTTTGGTGACATCACACCACTTGTCGCAAAATCATAGCGCCACCCCGTATTGGTGTTACCAGTATACAACTCGTTAGTCGACAAGATCGCGTAGGGCGCACCACTGAGGCCATAGAGGCACATCGTTGTCGACCACTCCTCACCTTCTTCAATACTGCTAGCAGCTTCTTGTGTCAGGCTTCGAATCGGCCGCAAACTCAATTCCACCGCGCTTACCGGCGGTAAATCATACGATGATTGCGTCGATAGATCAGTCAGTTGTGATTTATTTTCTGGGGCTTCGTCGTTCTCGTCTAGCACGACTGTGATATCAACGTCGAAAGTCCTATTCTTGCTATCGGTAGCTTCTGTGCCTTTTTCGTCGGCATGAATAGTAGCCACCTGATCGTCTAGAAGTTTTGAGCGAAAATGCCGATCCAGCAACCCCTTCTTTACTAATTCTTGACACGCCTTGAAAGCAACAATTCCCTTTGCCTCGTCTTGCGTCTCTACCTGCTGCGAATGAAGCTGCTTTCTAATGCCCAAAGCGCCAGGAAGTTTCAATGTTGCTGAGTAGCGGAATCGTGTATCATGGACATCGCTAGGATTGGTATCGTATGCTTCGTCGTCGTCATCCTCAATTTCGTCCGTAGTCTCCTCTATTGTTGCTTTAGCATGCTGCTCAGCCTCAGCTTTCAGCTCGTCAATTTTATCAGTCAGCTTTGAGTTGTACTTCAATAGCTTCTTTTTCGATCGTTTCAAAGACGGTGCCATGTGCTTCGTAATAGCGATTCGCCTCACTATGTACTGCGGGCGACGGTCATACGTATCTAGACCTGGCAGCGTATCACAAAACTTGCTCAGACACTCCGAACTATTCGTCACGTTTAGAATAGCACCTGTGTCACGATTGATAATCTCGTACGGATTTACCATAGGCTGAACTGGCGTTGGAATTACCGACATTTGATGTTGTGCCTGCAGCGAGGCCAAGGTAGAGCTCGTTGTATCTGGTGTAGCAGCTTCCGCTGGGGCAAGTGGCATCTGTAGACTCCTCCTCACACCAGTAGATGATGATTGTGCCGCTGCAAGGCAAACTTGGCTATTTTCTTGCTCGAGTCGAATATACTCCTGCATTTTTCGAACAAGATCTTCAAATTTCTTACGAGCTAGCATTGTGTCTGCAGTAACATACTTAATGAAACCGCGTGTGCGGTCGGCTCGCTTTCCGAATTCAAAAAGTTTGTCGGCTTCCTGAAGCTCATTCATGACCACGACGAGATCGCAGAGTGGCGGATCCATTCGCATCTTTGGCGAGCCCATCGATACAGACGTGGTCACCATAATCTTTGTTTCGAAGTCCGTCAACATTTGCACCACTTTACGAAATGACGAAAACCGAAGTGAGCCAGATATACGAGCATAGCTATTACCTAGCATGCAACAGCTCGGTGGTAAACCTAATTCTGCCAACGCAGTGGTCAAATACTCAGCAATGACGCGGCAATGACATCGTCTTTTGACAAACACCCAAGTCCGGACTTGCTTTTCCCCTGGAGAATTGCTAAATCGATTCCGAATCACCTCAGCGGTCTTTAATAGCCGTGGTGAGACCTTCAGTGTCCCACAAATTTCCAACTGTACAGACAGCCACAAGAGAATTTTCAAAATCGGTCGAATTTTCTGCTTTGTGGTTTCATCGATCGCGACATGGGCTCCAATAAATCTAGCAATCAAACGGTCTATCTTTGTCGATTCTCCCACTTGATCAGCATTTGCTTCACAACCACCTCCAACCATCATTTCAGTCTTTTCTTCATCACTACATACCTCTCCATCTTCCGGATCAGCATCCATTTCTTGTCCATTCATTGGCTCATCAACCTCCACAGCATTCGTCTGTTGTTTCCGTTTTCGATTGTTTATATTATCTGGGTCGTCCACAATACAAGCTTGCAAATTAGTTTGCAATTCCATCTCAATAAACTTCCATAAACACCACTGTCCCAAATGACTTTTCACTGTTTCTGCATCATGAATAAACCGATTAACTTTCGCTTGTTTCTTGCGTTCATCATAAACTGCTGCTGAGTTACCAAGCTCCAATTCCAGTCGAAAAAGATTTACGAAATTCACTTTTTTACTGTTTGCACCCAATAGAAAATCCCGTACACTCACTAAACCTTCCTTTCCAACCTCTTCCTTCTCCACATCATCAAAAACTTCACATAACACCGGTGGAAATGTCGGCTCCATAGACGTCGACGAGAAGACTGGCAACATATTAAACACATGAATATGCTTCAATAATGGATTTGTGACTGGATTCCAGTCCATTTTTGATGCTAAGAGCCTTGTCGTGGCAAAAATTCGCGTCGATTTCTTGGTCAGTAGCTCCGTTAGTAGCTTAAAGAATGACGGGAGCTCAGCATGTACCAAATCCCAGTCTTCTACGACCAGCAGCTGAATATCTGTGAGCCTAAGGGTTCCTCTACGTAATAATTCTTGGAGAATTAATGGTGATAAAATTGTGATCTGTCCACGTGCTCTTTGCAACTCTTTGCAAGCAAAGTCGGCGTCGTCGAGCCATTTGCTTGACTTGGTGGATGTTGACACAATGTCGTCGCTACAAATTATACGTAGTCCACATAATCTGGCAAGTTGGGTCTGTAATGTTGCGCGTCCTGATGGCGACGCGGCTATTGCCAGCGCTAATTGCTGAGGATTCGATGCAGCGGATTCACATAGTAAGGCACAGCTTACAAACGTCTTACCAACAGGTTGCGTGCTACTGAGTAATAGACTGTGGTGACGAGCTACAGCTGCAATTTCTCGCTGGTGTTCCCATAATGCGGCATCCATCAATGTAGAATGCGGAATTTGGAATGATGGTCAATTGTGTAATTGGTGTAGCATCCAGCAATTATAGAAACGATTTCTAAACTCATGTCAATTTTGGTATGATCATTGAATCTGATGACTCTAAAAAAAACTTCTTTTGGTCGTCGCGACAAGTTCTCAGCCCGTAACTTTGTTTTTTTGTGTAAGTCGCTTCTGATTCTCCACGTAAGCACGTTCTCATTTCTTCAAAAGTGCTAGCTGCCTCACTTCCTACCATCCTTCATTCCATGCCCTGTCCGTCCTCAAGCTCCTTTTACAACAACACCTTTTTTGATCGAGAACAGCAACAACAGCAACACAATTTGACAAATGACAAACAAAACGTCGACGACATAGCAGCGAGAGCCATAGCGGTGGCTTTTGCCATGCGTAACAAATGGAAAACAAAGGCTGCGTCTTTACAGCGCGGACTTGAGCACGTGCAAAAATGTCACGCCGGTGACGCCTGCGGCAGTTTCCTCTGCCATTCCACTCGTCGGCTGATAAAAACGTACGCGACCCATTCGTGTCGCAAGAAGAACAACCTTATAGATTGCCGTGTTTGCAAGCTTTGGGACTTCCTCGTGGTCAAGCAGCAATCACCAAGGCAGAAAGGAGAACTTAGCTGCGGATCAGTTCTGATTCGGCCTCGTCAACGGACACGTCACAGTGTCCTTCACCGCCGGATTATAACTTATCTACCAGAACCGCAGAACATGAGACGTCGCTTTTCTATTTGCGTTAAGGAAGAGTAAGCTAAGACACAAGTAGAGAAAGGAGAAGGCAGATGCATGCTTAGCTTCTCGAAAATTTGTGGCTGCAATAGGACGTCACCCTTTACTCCCAGCTCCTGACAAACTGTGTCAAGTCTTACAAGCCAATATCCTTAAACCTGTACAAAGAGACCGTCAACATTAGTTTCATTAGTACCTTTGTAGCAGAGTGAAACGCGAGCAAACAACAAAAAGAGTAGCCCTCCACTCCTACCTCTTTTGCTGCTGCTCTGCCTGCTTGGCCAGCGCCTTTTCAACTAGGTCATCGTCGTGGTAGTACATCAGCGCAGCCTGGAAGGCGTGCAGGTCTAGCTTATACTTCTTGCAGATCTCCTCAGTTTTCTTTCCAGACGCCTTAATGTACTGCTGCGAGAGCTGGCTGCGGAATTTCGCATCCGTTATTTTCTCCTCACGCAAAGTCGTGACAATCTTCTCCATCTCGTCCGTCAGCGACGGAATCAACTCCTCCATGACGCGGATTACCATCGTGACCTCAATATCAGGCTTATCTTCGGGCACCACCTGCAGCAAATACACAAGCATCAGTCAGTACGAACAAAATATCAGTACAAACAGCAGCTCACTCCTTACCCATGCTGACTTTGCTCCTGGGATCAGTGGGTCGCGCGACCCCGTAACTTTCCACCGTAAACGTCCGAGCTTCCGCACAAAATCGTCAATAGTCTCTGCTTCAGCGACCGAGATCTTGCCATCCGGGCCTCCACCACGCAACGCTCCCGTCACAAGTCGTTGCATCGCATCCTGAACCTGTTTCTTGGTCACGTAATTATTACGAAAGACCGCGTCCTGGACCTTTTCCAGCGTCGACTCAAAGGCGATACTCATCTTAAGAGCACGTTGCTCTGGTGACAGCTTGAGTTTACCATCATTCTCCTTCTTTTCTTTCTCCACGCTCTTTTCCAGATCCTCCAGCATTCGCGCCGCGAAGACGCTCATGTTCTGGTCAATCTGTTCGTACAAACGCAATAGCGCCGTCACATGCTGGATCGGGTTCGCAGTACATACTCCCTCTTCTATCTCTTCTTCATCGATTTTCTCGCTTTTTGCTTCGTTACCTAGCGCAGCAGTCATCGCCAACGCACCATACGCACACCAAGCTATCAACACGTTCATTCGCTTCTTGGGGCTCCTAGAGGCGACATTCGATCGGAATAAAGCAATGACTTTCAACTCAGATGAGTGCATATTACATTTCGATATTTCATGTCCCGTCAAAGACCTCAAGAAACACGGCACACGTCGACGCAAGATGTGCTTCACCCTGCTCACTTGACCTCCAAACATCTAGACAAAAAGACCCGCAACGTTTTGATAATACTGGGTTTTAATTGGATCCTACCGGTCGCAATACCACCCACAAAAACCGGTTTAACTCTACATTCTCTTAAGTTCTCCTTCTGCGAACTTAACGCCAGCCAATAATCCAGAAAGTGTATCAACCAGACATCATGAATACTCTGCTGCTGGGTACGGAGGCCGTAACTGAGGTAAAATTACACCCGGTAGTGGTGCTGCAAGCACTTGACCGTGCACTTCGTCGTGCTAAAGGTAAGACACGCGTAATCGGCACGCTTCTCGGTCGTGTAGAAGGTGGAGTCGCTGAAATTAGCGACTCATTTGCTGTGCCACATTTGGAAAATGGTGACGAAGTAGCAGTCGGTCGTGACTTCCATGCGCACATGTACGAGCTTCATCAACGTGTAAATGAGAATGAGGTGGTTGTGGGGTGGTACGCAGCCGGTTTGGGTCAATTGGACGATCATTCGGCGCTCATCCATCAGTTCTACAGCTCAGTCTGTGAACTGCCAGTGCATTTGGTCCTGGACACGAACTTACGAGGAGACGCACTCAACGTGTCTGCTTACGTGTCGACTCCACTTGAGGTCGTGGATACGGCACTTGTGAACCAGTTCAAGCAAATCTTAGTGACCCAAAAACTCTCGGAGCCTGAGGCTATTGCACGTACGTTTGAATCTGAATTCCTTGAATTTTTGAACGAATTTTGATTGTTTTTGTCTTATTTTCTGTATGTAGTAAATGCCATGGCACCAAAGGATGGGGAGGTGAAGGCGACAGCTTTGCCCAAGGAGTTGGAGGCACTGAAAGAGACGATGCAGCAGCTGTACAAGTGTATTGATGGTGCTAGCACTTTTGTGGGTGACGTCGTCGCTGGTAAGCAGACGGGAGATGCCAAACTTGGACGGGAGATTGCGGACGCACTGGCGGCTATTCCCGTGCTGCGTGGAGACCAGTTTGATCAACTCTTTAACACGGGCTTGCAGGACCTGCTCATGGTGTCGTATCTGTCGGGACTTACGCAGGCACAGCTGTCTATGGCCGAGAAGCTTATTAACACCTAATTTGTGGATGTACAGATTGCTGAACCTACAGCTTGTTTCGGTAGTTTTCTTAGTAAGCGTGGAGAAGGCGAACAGGTTGCTGCATTTTGCTTTGAAGTGTCTGTGTGTATTGGTGCTAATTTGCAGAGCTATGTGATCCTTCGCGGTGGACGAGTTTGTACTGCTTATTGTGTGGAAGCGATATAGTGTACCTGTCTCTTAAACATCTTGCAACTCTTGTTTGAGTACACCCTCTCTCTACGGCTTGAATGGCCGCCGCATGAGCTTTCACGTTCAGCAATGTACACTGAGTGAACATCCACAAAAAACGATATCTCGACCGACGAGTCCGTTAGCCCCAGCTATCGTTGAAGTGGTTATACGTGGACGAGATGTCGTGAGACCCGAGTCTCTGGTGGGCGCGTGCGCTGCGACTTCTGGAATTTAACCTGGTTCAAACGTTCAGGCAGGCGACCGAACGATCTGCCATCATTGATTAAGTCTGCACGAAAGAAAACTATCGGTGGTCCCGTATCAACGCAAGTCTGTTGATGACAATGTAAACGCAGTGGCTTCTGCCAGCCTGACCAAATCTGCATGTTCTCTCTACGCACGAATACCACGAAAATGTCATTTATCAAGAACCAGAATAATTAACATCTTACGTATGTGTTTTAGACACAGACGAAAGATATCTGTAACGGGCTAATTGTTACACGGTTCGGTAAGTATCGAATACGTAACGGGCAGGTCTAAAAGGGTATGTGGTACCGGTATCTTAGACCTGCCACTTGGGTGCGACACATTGATGTTCGCACCCTCGTGAATGTGATATACATGAATGGATTCAGATTCAACGGGGATGACGCCAGTTGGGAAAAGGCGTCATGGTGACGCTTCAGACGGACGTCATCAGCGAGCTTAAATATACTTGAAGCTCGCACGTAGGATACGCTTCTAAAGAGACGCGTACCGATCTTTACATTTAACCAATAAGAGAACTACATCGTTGTCCTTCACGCTGGCTCGTTCTGCTGGCTCGTGTTAGAAAGTAAGAATAAAGTTAACATGAATGACTTGTATATTAACGATGACCAGACGCGTTTCGTCCCCCGCTGGGGCCTTGGAATGGGGCACCTTCTTGCTTATACCTTCGTATAATCAACCATCACTGATAAAAGTGAAGGCAGGTGACTTAGAACCTCTCTTATACAAAGAGACAGAGGAAGCTTACCAACTGAACAAACGCTTAGAAGTAGGGAAAAAGAGAACTGTATTTAATATAGTTAACTATCTAATAAAACTAATTTGTTAATAATTGTGTTGAGTATATTAAACTACAACTATGTATGCTGACAATTTGTCCTCCACTCATTGCGCGCGTCCATCGGTCATTGGTCAGCGCGTTGGTTGATATGATGGCCCATATCAACCAATTAGAGGGCATCTCCAACTTCAAGGAGATTTAGGGATAGGAAAAGATAATATTGTCAAATATTATTAGTTATAACAATATTATAAGGGAGTTGTTATATTCACTATCTTTTGGTTAAATCCACGACTTTTCAAGCCACCGATAAATTAAATATATAAAATTATAGCCAACGTGGAACAGTGAACGATCTAAACGCTGATATTTCTCCCCCACTCTCCACCCTTTACTTGCGACTTGTTTAAAAGGTTTTACTTTCAGAACCTTTTCTACCAGCGGTATTTCTATTATATCTGGTGTCTCTTGGTGTAGCTGGCAAATTTTATCCATTCAGCGATGTGACTTTGCACTTTTCTAAACCATGGTTGGGCCTGCATTGTTGCAAACCTTTCCCAATAACCAGCAACTGGTGCTGCAGCGGCATTGTGATTAAGTTTCAAAGCTATAAAGTGGTTGCCATCTACGAATGCAAAGCAAATAGGTAAATTATGTTTGGGAGAACTGAATGCTGGAAGGAATGTGTGACTGAAGCCATAAGGTTCCTTTATGGAATTTTGTCAGTTTATTAAACTAAATGTTACGAGAGGAAAAAATTCGCAGAAATAATTGGATGTATCATACATTTGCTGACATTGGTGATTGGCACCGACGCTTATTGTGCCCAACCTTCCACATGTATCACATTTTCGCCTTTTGGTTGGTGGTGTTCCTTGGTTTATTTTTGGCATTACTTGGGCGACCGCGGGTATCGAAATTTATGGATGGAGGTTTGAGCTCCACTATTCTGCTTTGCCCACCCATCTACATAATTGAGTAATTTGTGTAATTGTTTCGTTTTTTTTGCTCTTGGCAATGATTATAGGCGCTGGCTAATGACCTCCCATTGATTTGTGATATCTATGTCCAAATCTTTATAAGAAAGGTAATTGTCGGGGTTTGCTTTCCACACAAGATGCCATTGTTCATGAAATCATCTTCAGTTAGCATCCTGTAGGTACATTCATAGAAAATTGGAAAGAAGTGTTTAACTCAATTGAAAAAAGCAAAATTGTAGAAACGTTGGTTCGATTTGGGCTGACATACCTTTCATTCATCAGTTCCTGAAGCCCACCAAAATTCCTCTGACACTCGTAAGAATGTCTTTTCACGGCCCAGATGCCCACTAGATGACGCATCATGGCACTCGTGAAGTATCATCAGCTTGAGATCTGTGTCATGAGGGACATAGATTCTCAAGGGATCACAGGGTGACAGCTGATGCTATAACAGGCCATACCTGTAACTGAAGCGATTAAGCTTCGCTTTGAGGTGCGACGGAAGGGTAACCCTTCGTCCACCAAAATGATCCAACAGCAGGCGACAATGTTTTTCCTGACTGTAACACTCCTTTATATCGGAGGCCATTGAGCTCGTCACATGGTATGCCTTCATGGCTGCCAATGCTGACGACTCAACTTGTGCTTTTGCACGAGACACACTTTCCTGGTGTCTTGCCTCGAAGTCTGGTCTGCGCGATAACGCGTCAGCCAAGACATTCGACTTACCTGGCTTATATTCAACTTTGAAATTAAATTCAGAGAAGAATGTTAGCCATCTTGCCATTCTCGGCGAGAGGTGCGGTGAATTTATAGCGCTCCGCAGTGATGCGTGATCCGTATAAACCACAAAAGGTTCGGTGCCCAAGAGGTGCACCCGAAACTTCACAAGGGCATACTTAATTGAAAGTAGCTCCTTGTCATGCACAGGGTAATTTAGCTCTGCTGCTTTCACAAGCCGAGACTGATACGAAATGACACGGTTAACGCCGTTGTCATCCTTCTGCATGAGCGCGCTGCCGATTGCAAAATTGTTTGCATCGCAGACGACGCTAAAGAGCTTATCCGCGTCTGGCAATGCCAAGACCGGTGCCTCTACAAGAGCTTGCTTCACTGAAGTGAACGCATCTTCTTGCTCCTTTGACCAAGTCCATTCTGTAACCTTTTTTTCAAAAGGTCAGACAATGGCTTAGTCTACTTCGCATAATTCTTGCTGTACTTATGCAAGTAATTAGCGAGCCCAAGGAATTGGCGCAGATCCTTCACATGACGTGGTACTGGTCATTCCTTTACAGCCTTTACATTTTCTGGGTCTGCTCGCACACCGTGTGCACCTACGATGCAGCCCAGTACAGGTATCTCGGGGACCCCTATTACGCACTTTTGCAAGTTAACGTATAATTGGGCGTCACCCAGAGTCTGCAACACAGCACCTTAATGACGCTTGTGCAACTCTATTGCTCTCAGACCGTCCTCCGCCCTACTATGCACGAATACATCGTCAAAGTAATGGGGCGCGTAGGCACGGTGCTGACGCATCACATGAGCGACCACTCGGTTGAATGTTGCCGGAGCATATTTCAACCCTTGTGGCATCACAAGCCACTCCCACAGCATACCGCTTGGGGTGCTTACTGCCGTTTTGGCTACATCGGTATCTCTCATGAGAACTTGATAGTAGCCATCCTTCAGATCCAACGCGGAAAAGATAGATGACTTTCCATGGAATTCAACAAGACATCTTTCCGCGGGATCGGCGTTTGTGCCGGCATGATGGCATGAACCACGCGCCATCCACCTGTTGCTTTACGCACACAGAAGGTCGGGATGCAGTGAGGCGACTTGCTCTCACGTACATGTCCCGCCTTGACTCGTTTGTCGAAGAACTCATCGATGTAATCGATTGGTTCCTTCGGCAACGGCCATTGCCTGGTCACACAATATTGGGTGCCAGGCTCCAGGTCAATCTCGTGCCTTATGCCCCTATCGGCCGGTAGGCGGCTCGGCACAAACACATCACGGTATATCCACAGAAAATCATAGAACGGGCTGTCCTTCAAGGCATCCCAGCCTTGAGCAGCGAACGGTTTCTTTTTGTCGGTCTCCAAGAAGCCCTCGTCCATTGTGGACGACGAGCAACAGTACACCACGTTCTCTTCTGAAGATGTTGCGACTATCTTGTGGATATTTCCTTCCTTTAGTTTGGACAGGAACAAATCCCACGTCATCTCCGACAAATTTACTATCTCCTCGGCAGATGCCAAGACAAGTTAAATCAAGAGGACGGATCTGCAAACGATTTGATCGAGGTCGTCGAATACAAGATGCCGGAGTACTGGGGATGCCTCCGGATCTTGTCTTCGACGGCCTCGAACGACTCGTTCGTAGGTCCGTCCTCTTGGACCGAGACTGATTCAAGGGTCACTCGTTTCGACGTGCCCTTGATCGTCTAAATTCGTCTGGTGCTCGTTCTTCGAGTCACCACGACCTTTGACCTGGAAGAAGGTGTCGTTGCTATCTCAGCTAACGCACTCCTTCCAATCGCACCAGGCTCATGGCTCTGTGCCGGTTCTTTTGGCGCTTGACTTCCTGTCAGCCCACCATCAACTGCCACAGGCTCTCGGCTCTGTGCAGGAGTATTGAACGCATGACTACCTGTCATCTTCCCATTCACTACACCAGTCTTTTCGACCTGGGTAGGAATATGTGTCACCTACCTGGCTTTCTGTCAGGGCACTTCCAACTACACCACTCCTTTTGAGCTTGGTAGTTCCTGGTGCCGATTGACATACCGTCATCGCTCCCACGACTGTGTTGGACACAGCATCAGATAAGGATCTCGCAAGAGCATATCCTTTCCGGTGTCCTGCGTAGAGCTAGCGACTATGCGTGTACGCCAGTCTATCCATGGTTGGTGTTAATCAACAAAGGCATGCCTAGGATGAGGTCATACGGACTCTCCATACCTAGCACTGTGAACTTCTCTTTACAAGAGAATTTAATGAAACTGAAGGCGAGTTCAACTTGAACTCCCTCTGATTTTACGAGCGCGCCATTCGATAAACGAACGATCGCCTCTTCTCGCTTGTCATCCTGGCAAAGCGACTCATAACTCGCCGGACTCCTTTTCAAAGCCGCGAGTTTCACAAAGTTTTGTGACGCACCCGAATCAACGAGAAGGGTCAAAACACTTGGTCATAGCCTCGTACTCGAGCGCTATAGACCAAAAGGGTTGAGGTCCGACCTTTCGGAACCTCAGGGACTATGCTACCCATTTGTTCGATCACTCTGAACTTAGGGGTAGCTTCAGAGTCCGCGACAGTAGGGCATCCCGCCCCTACTGCGCTCCCACATTTCCCGACTTATCGGGGGTAGAATCTGAACCCGTGCGTCGTGCAAACTGGTTTTTCGCACCTCCCTTTGGGTAGGGATCCTTCTTGCTGGCTGCCTTAGCACCAGCAGCAAGTTTGGCATAGCAGCGAGCCATCATATGGCCTCGCTTGCCGCACTTGTAGCAGACTACGTCTGCATTGCCTAACTCCATAGGAGTGGCATCCGACTTCTCGGACGACGGCCTGTAATAGGCTGTCGCCGAGGCGCTGTTGTATGATTGCTCCTCAACTAAGGTAATTTCAATTGCCTCTTCCATCGTCGATGGCACCTTTTAATAAAAACCTGACGCGAGGGGCCGTGCCTAAGTCCATTCATGAACGTGGACACCTTGATACGTTCCTGTATCGGTTCCCCATTAATGGAAGCCGACAGCGAACGCATCTCCTGCACTTTTCTTGCAGAGAGCGTTTCGCCTGTCGTGCTCCAAAGAAGCGCGCCATAAGCAACACTTCGTTGTTAGACGGCTGATACATGGCGCGAATCTTTGACTTAAATATCGCCCATGATGGAAACGAATCAGCATTTGCCATCAGCGTAGAGTATGCCCACTCTGACGCTTTGCCACGCAAGTTGGACATACCATCCTGGTGTCGTCTTCGATGAGCTGAGCCACTCCACATTGCTCAGCTGCTAATAGCCAGTGAACAATCGTGTGAGGGATAGTTCCATCGAGCTTCGGAGGGTCCATCCGAATGGGCCTCGGTTGAGTAGGCCGGGCAGAGAGCGTCTCACACTTCTGTTGAGCGCCTCATTCTGTGCCTGCTCAAGCCTAAGCTCATCCTGAGTCTTATTGATGGACTCAGCCGTGGCTTGGCTGTTTACCTCGGACGCGTTTCTGCGCTTACCGAGCACAAACGCCCCAAATTGCTCCAACTGAGCAACATGTTGCTCAGGAGGGCAATGCAAGAGGCTGGCCAGGGCTTGTTCATCAAGTCCCTGCGCCAAATGCTCTGCAAACTCCCTATGATGTTGGGAGAGGTGAGGGAAGCCACTCCAGTCCATATGAAGGACCATCTTAACCACACGCACGCTCAGAGAGACGGGTCGTGGGAAGGAACACTAGTGCTACCAAGTGTAGACGGGCACTTCTACGAAGTTTCCTCGTACTACTAGCACACACTTTATGCACAATCGAGGAAGCGGTTAGAACGTCTTACCTTCGCGTGCAAGGGTGGTTGTGTGGTTGGTCGACTGCCTAAGCAGTCGTACCACCAGTTGCCTCTCGCTTAAGCGAGAGTGCAACGAACTTCATAACACTAAAGCACCGACGTCACGCAGAAGTCTTTCAACTTCTCGTGCGTGGTGCGTTTGTTTAAGTAAATTCAAGACTGAGCTATATTTAATGAATTATAATTAAATATAAACTTAACTACTGATTGGCTATATATATATATAGAGAGAGTGATCGGATACGCGACTCTTTAGAAGCGTATCCTGACGCATGAACTTAAATTTAGATTTAAGCTTGCAAATGACGTCCTTCTGAGACGTCGCGATGCCTAGCTTTAACTAGCGTCATCCCTTCCCATGTGAATCCATCAATGGATATCACATTCACGAGGGTGGATCACATTTGTGTATTGCACCCAAGTGACAGGTCAAAGATAATCATGGATACTTTTAGACCTTTACGTTAAGTGTATTACTTAGTGTTAACGTGTAACTAGATTCCCTGTTACAATAATGGAGCCCTGGTAGCTAATATAGCCAATATCATATTTCTTCGTCTGCGCCTTCGGGGCGTCCACATGTGAGAGACGGAGCTCGAGGTGGCAGTCTTTCAATACGCCGAGCTCCATCAACGCTTTCGATCGGTTTATTCCTAATCGGTTTCTCTTACACCAGGCGAAAGCGTGCCACGCGCAGGATTTGATGGTAGCAGCCGTTTGCTTTTGCCCAATGCCGAAAATAATTGGCTCTTCCACTGAGCGTAATGTACTGTGAATGGGTTTCCATCCAGTACGATGGTGCGCAGGGCACATCCGTCAGAACTTCATAAACCCAAGCGTCCATGCCCACCACTTGCACACTCGCTTGGCAAATACGATAACGCTAGCGCAAGATGTGTAGACGCGTAAGTAGACATCTCCGATTATGTTAACCAGAATGGTAAACGACCAGTTCTTCTTGTCGGTGTTCTAAATTTTTAAATAAATAACGTTGTGTCGGCGCTCATCCTTCCGAAAATAAATCAACACGTAGCGCTGGCTTTGCACCACAGACTCGCCCTTCTTAAAGGATCCGAAGTGTAGTCTGACCGTCCTCTAGCGCGATATGCAACTGCTTCACATCATCTACACTTTGCTCGTAAAACATATCGTCAAGCGTCTGCGGGTCATGAGCGTGCTAGGCAAAGTTCAGTTGTTAAACTTTTATAATCCCAGGGGCTCAACCTAAGCGACACACCTGACTCGAATAAACCGTAAAAACCTCCCATTTCAAACTCAAACGCTTGGATAGCACACGATCTCACTCATGGTGTTATTGGCTATTCCCGGACATCCGAGCGCTTTTCATGTCTTTGGGCGGCGGTTGAGATTTGCAAACGAGCCAAGCTCAGATGATGTCATGACAGGGTGACTGAATGGTGCGCACACAAACGGCCTTAATGAACTCCTCTACGCACAAGGCTCAATAGACGCGTAGTCAAATGCAAGCGATAAGATGTCCACGATCAGTGTCCAGCGCAATACTTAAGGCTAACGAGACTTCTATCGATAAACCTCTGGTTCGTTAACGACCAGCAATGAGGATGCTTGCTGCTCATTACTTTCAACAAGCCGTGCGTCTTATGGTAGATTCTTCGACGTAAAACAATTCCTCACCTTCCACAATATTTGATTTTGGGCTTACACGCACCAGGCTAAAGTCTACTTGCTAAGCACTATGGATGCATAGACGTCGTTAAGCGGTGGTATCTGCTTCTGTTTTGTCGAAGACTGTCCTGGTCGACAGTACACTACACTTACTTGGCATATTCATCATACATGTCTTGGAAATGCAGCTATCTCAGGAAGATGGATACAAGCGTGATGCAATTTGTGCTCAAGTTGTTTGTAAGCAAATGTGTATTCCTTAAGGTTCCGCGCGTCACCTTGTCGAACATATAAGCTAAAGTTGGGAGTTTGGGGGCCACAGGCCCATCCTTTTCTCCGCAAGCCCAACCGCCGCGGCCTAGCTGCATTACTACTGTTCGCCATTGTTGAACCTCAATTGAGCCCAGGTGTTTTTACCCTCTAGATATGAACGTCTGTGCACTTGAACATGATTAAGGCGCAATTTTGTTCGGGTTGTCCGTGACGGAGACCAACAAGGTGGCACTGCTATCTCTTCGAGTAGACGATGTCCAGGAAGAGATCGCAGCTGTACATACACATGTATCGACACTATCGATTCGACAAAAGTTGACAGCTTCTGCTAATTAGCCAAGTGGCTAAAAACATACTCGAGACGAGTGAATCTTTTAGAGTCGCACACGTCGCAGGCGTCGCGCCTTCTATCTTCACAACTGCTACTCATTCAGCAACTTTCCTTCAACAGCTCGACCAGTGAAGATTTGAGGGAAAGGAAGATCTTGACGCATGAACAACTCAAAGAACGCCTACGGCGACATAAATCACCGTCTGCCACCTTCTTTTCGTACGCTAGCGTCGCACTCTGACCTCGAGAAGCTGCGCGAACTCGCACGTAGCGACGAGTTTTCGGACAGCGAGAGCGACGGCGTTGATAGCGACGACGACGAGGATGACGTAGTTGCCACCATGATCATGCTTTACTGCTTTTCATCGCCCAAGCGCAAGATTGTGGCGGCGCAACATCGCGTCCAGCTAAAACAGCAAAAGACGAGCGATGACAAGGCTAGCAGCAGTCCTAAAGGCGACGAGTGGGAGCTTGTAGACAAGTCGCCAACGTTCGAGAGCATCGTGGAAGGCAAAAAGGAACTAGGAGGAGAGAGCTGGTTCGTGCAAGAGCAGGAGCAGTCGACCAGAGAGATACCGTAGGGATGCTGGTGCGACGTTCTACTTCGTTTGCCGTCATCTTCTGGATTATTTAATATCATCATTGCGTACTTGAACTGCAAATTGAAACCTTCTCGTCCATTTATCTGCTACTAATCCACACGCGGACGCTTACTGTGAGTCAGATATCGGGGGTTCTCTTGCGATGAAGACTGTGATTGTGACAGTGTCGGACAATTATCACCACTGCCAATTGCGTTTTTACAACACAATGTATAAAAGACGGTATCAGGAATTGAACTGCACAAGCTGGCTAACTAAGCACTCACCCATCAGTAAAAAGCGGGACTTCTTCTTCACTACGAGCCTGTGACGACGCCGGCAGAAACATTGTGACTGTGGACAGCGTCATCTCGATAGAAAATTTAGCCATAGACGTCGACTCGGCTGCAAACAACACCGGGCTAAAATACCATGGCAATAATTAGATCCCAAAGATCGTCAGCAGTAGTCCTTACCATCAAGCTCAAGCTCAATCCTAACTTACCTGCCACTTGTCGTGAAATAAAAGGAAACCTCCGACACGTCACTCGTTTTACAGAACGCTAGCAAAGCCTTCATCAACAGACACAGTCCGACATCAGATTTGTTTTCTCTATCACAAGATTCATCCACAACATCATCTCCACCTCACCCTGATCTCTTTAATACAGAAAATCAATTGTGCCGACGAATCAATGCTATCTGTAGCTGGCTGTAATATGTACTCATCAAACTCAGCACTCGCCACTGCTGTCTCTGTCTGTAGCTGTGCCTTACTATCTGTAACATTAGAGAAATAGCTTTCAAACTTCACATGTGTAGCTGTGCATGTGACACTAACTTCATTACTACGATGTATATGAGCCAATAAAGAGCCTAAATGGTGCTGCCGTGTCCGCCAGCGATTAGGACACGCATCTTTATCGAACACGGCACGCATAATTTGGCACGACTGGACCTTCATGTGGTGGGTCTTTGTGATATCAAAGTCACAACGCAGCTTCCAGCGCAGCTCCATGCAGTCGACGTCTATTTCGTCCACCTGGCTGCTCTGTGAGGCGTCTTCCTGGCTCATGTCGGCGAGATCTAGTGCTTCTTGGTCCACCAGCAGCGCCAATTGGACGCTCTGCACGTGCTTGAGCGTCCGAAAAACATTGCAACATGATTTGGCAAACACTTTGCACTTGACAAACGGTGTGCGACCATTAAATCTCGCCTTTAGCATCTCGAATGAGAAGATTTCTACGCCCTCTAGCGTGATACTGCTGTCCTGAGACTCGGAGAAAAATGTACGATCCAGAACTACTTGGCCAGAAGCAGAATGCGCGTCATTAAGAGAACGAAGCGTAAGACGACGGGAGCATGGATCACATTCAATTGATAGCTCTTTGCCTACTTGCGCGAGGCATTGCAGTGCGGCAACAAACACCTTGAGAGCTTCCTCGGCGATCTCAAGACGAACTTCCATTGTAAAATGCTATGTTTCACTTTAGTGACATCCATTTCCCTTCGTAGGAATGACAACCGCATTAAGCGTTTTGACCTTCACTCTGTGTTTCTTCCAGTATGGACGAGATCGCTCTACTGCAGCAGCAACTGGCCGCTGTGCAGCAGCAGGAGACAGCGCTGAAGCTATCGGACCACAATATTATTGATCTCTTACTCAAGCTGCAGCAACTGGGCAAGCTTGAAGTGATCCACACACGCACTGGGAAGCAGTTTCTGACGCCACTTCAGGTCCAGAAGGAAATTATAGAATACGTGGCACTGCAGGGTGGACGTATGTGTCTCACGGATCTGGAGAAGATGATTGATGTAGATCGTATGCATGTGGAGAAGCAGGTGATGGTGCTATGTAGAGGAAACAGAGGCCACAAGGACTCATACTACGTGGTAAGCAACGGCGAGGAGCTGCTCACGAGCTGGTATCTCGACGGTATCATGGAGGACACGAACGTGCTGCTACAGGATAGTGGCACCACGTCTGTTGGAGACTTGGCTCGGCAGTTTGGCTTTGCCGTGGACTACATGAGAGACGTGGTGCACACGAGACTTGGCAGCATCTTAAAGGCACGAGTAAGGAACAATGTGCTGTATACGGACTCGTATGAGACGGAGCAAAAAGCGCGGGTTCGAGGGGCCTTTGCTGGTATGACACGGCCTGTGTTTGTACCTGATGTGGTGCGGTCTTTTGGCTTCGATGAGGCTGTGGCCAATGAAACACTGACCGAGTTGATACAGATGAAAGTATTGATGGGCACGCTGAGAGGACGGGAGTATGTGCCTTATGTCTTCATGGCAGCCCAGAAAGAAAGCATGTACTCGTTCTTCCAACAGAATGGATACTTGGAACATACGAGAGCCAAAGAACTGCAAGTTGCTCGGCCCTTCGACTTTTTAAAGAGAAGATTCTCGGATTCTGTGTGTCTACAAGAGAGTGTTGTAAGCCGTGCTCTACAGTTACAGCTTGAAGGAGCTGTAGAGGCAGCGGTGAATGATAACTCCTTAGTGGATGTCCGGTCGGTGCTGCCGAGTGCTCTGTCAGCAGGTGATGTGGCATTGTTGCTGGGCACGTCGTCGGGGCTGAAGAAAACGGGACATGCACCCAAAGCGTATCAGATTGCAAACATTTATGCTGTCAGCTTGGGCTTTTTCGTTACTTGTTTGGAAAAATTTGGTGAAGATGCTACGACCAAGGCAATTCGTGCTGCGGCCCAGCAGAAGAGCAGTGGCGTTAAGGCTGGTTTTCACGAAAGCAGGCAAGAGGTTGATGACGATGAAGGTTCAGACGTTGGTACTAAGCTCGGTAAAAAAGGAAAGCGTGGCAAGGGTGGCAACAAGCGCAGCCAGGAAGAAACTAGAGGCAAGTCTAGAAAGGCAACGAAGAGTAAACGCGAATTAAAGGGCGATGAAGATGCTGGTGACGATGATGACACGAGATCTACACCTGCTCAACTCTCGATCGTGCCTACGCGTGAGGAGATGATTGATCTTCTTGTGAAATGGTTTCCAGTCGTTCATGATTTGAAAGGCGATGACGAGTTAATGGACGGCATCATAGCGCATATAGAAAATAAGACCACTGAAGTCTACTCAACCGCACTGACCAAAGCAATGTCTAGCATTCTACGAGGAGATGCTTCGTCACTGCGCGAGTTGCGCAAGACATTCGAACATCGGTTCGATGAACAATTCACGAATTTGCTTGTTTTAGAAAAAGGATATAACAAGCTATTGATGCACGTAGATGCTACGAATGCGTCTGGCATGGAGCAGCTCGCTGTTGTGGAGGTGCATTTGCTTGAGACCTTCGCCGTGGAGCTTGCAGCTTTGGTCACAAGTTTTATTGCAGAGAGCAATAGTCTTGAATTGGAAGGCGTGTCGCTCTTGTCATCTCCTAGTGGCAGCACAGACGATAAGACTAAGGTCGCAACTGATCCGGTGACGACCTTAAGCGACAAAAACAGGAGAATTATCGAGACGAACCTTCCGCAAGCAACTGCAAGTTTTTTGGTACGGTTATGGATGCTCGCCACCGCTGGTCGTCGGTCACTAAACGATTTCATGGCTTATATACCGGTTCTGGCAGAGACTTTGAGCATGCCTCTTCGAAAGTTGGATCGCAAGAAGGAGCGAAAGGTGATATTCGGCTACCGACAGGCAATATCTGCAGAGCTGGGCGAGGTGGCGGTACTTGCGATCGATAACAATCAGCAATATGCTTTAATAGCAACATTGGTGCTGCAACTTTTCTTCCAGCAGCTTACTGGGCTTCCAGGTAGTTTTCCACGTGACAATGTATCCTATGGCGAAATGATGCTAAACGCATTTCGAGACTCGGTGCCGAAAAAGGCGATGCAAATTATTCAGGCTTTTTTACGTTTGACAAGCGGGATGAGCAGTGGCGAAAAAGTTGCTGAAGAGCAAAAGAGTACGTGGAATGCGAGCCTGGATGCTGTGCGTGCGTTGGTTCTTTAAAAGATCCGAGCTCTATTCAATGAATGCAATCAATTGATTGCTCGAGTACAGCTTCCCGAAAGCTTGGAAGTGTGTGCTACATGCATTTTGACTATACATACAGACATTACTCGTCTACACTACGTACGTGATCGTTTGATTTTGTAATACTTGTTCATACTAGGGGCCAAGTCAAGCTTCGTTGGAGTTTTCACGTACTGCTCGTTGTTTTGCAGCTCGCTGAATGATACGTGAAGCCGCGCTAGCCAAGCTGCTCATAGAAGCATACTGCGATTGCGTCAGGTCGCGAGCTTTTGGGTCGGCACAGCACAAGGAACCGATGACCGTCTTGCCATCAGACCCAACCAGTGGGAAACCGCAGTAAAAGTTGATCCCCATCTTGCGGACACTTATCAATGCATTAAAACGCACGTCAGCCTGTACATGGCGCGATACGAGCGGATTCCGATCCAGGATGGTTTGAGCGCAGAACCCCTGCTCTCTCGGATACGACCGACCGCTGGGCGCTGTCGGATGAGTAGAGGCCAGCACATGTAGTTCTGTCTTGTCAACAACGGTAATCGTACTGACGGCGCAGCTAAGTTCCTTCGAAGCCAGCGAGCAGATGATACCCAATTCAGGCACGTCGCCCAATTTGTTCAGTTGTTGCTCATGAATAATTTGCAGTCGTTGGTACTCGTTGGCTGGGGTCGGGGGTACAATAGCTTCCATCTCGTCGTCTGGAAACCTGATCTGATATCTTCTCGAGTCTGCGTTAGCTAACGGGTAATCGTCTTCCCAACGCGGAGCTTCACCCCATATCAGCTTAAGCCGTTCCACATTATTAACAGGTTCGACGTCGACATATTCATCGGCGTCCTCAATTTTTTCGCTGCGTACTCCCAGCAGAGGCAAACCGCTGGTGGTTGCACCTGCCGACGCACTACGGATTCGGGCAGAACATGCTTGTCTCCGAGCGCGTTCTTCCTCGACGATATCCTTCATGACACTCAACACACTAGCTTTTCGTCTCCGTTGAGCCGGTCCTCCTGCGGTTGCTTCCGCCAAAATTTCCAGAAGTAGGTCATTGAGAGACGCCGGACGCGTCTTGAATGCAGACCGGGTACGCCTCGAATCAATACCATAAAGATTGCCATCTGGAGCGCTGTAAGCACGGGAGATCGGAGACTGCGCGTCGGAAATCACTCGCGCCGGACGCAGGTCCTCTTCCGTGACTGCTGTGTATTGTGCTTGGTGCATCCGAATGAGGCAACGTTCACATACGCGCACTTGCTCAACCTGCGGACGGTCGTCACCACGTGCGCGGTGCTCGCGTTCTTGGACGCTGGCGCATTTTTCACAAACAAGGAAGCCACACAGACAGCACAACCTCCTTCTTGTGCGCTTGAGAAAGGTCGAGAATGAGCGACGGCAACAAGCACAAGAACCTTTGGCCATGGTATCAAGTAGGAGCCGTGTACTGTTGATAATTACCTGCATTCCAAGACGACGACGCTGGACGACAAAAATGTACCGATGACAACTTGCAGCAAGTCGAAGCATCCAGATACGCGCTCGGCGTCGTTCATGACTAGCACGCTTGAAAGCGTCGTGAGCATCAGGCGGCAGGTATTCGCCATGAAAAACGACGCGAGTAAAGCAGCCGCTAGGGGCTTGTTCAAATGAGTAGTTGATGACAACGTTTGGAACGTGCGAATGCGATCGTGACGATGGTGTATATGCATTATTTAAAACGACACCAGAGCGTGCGATTGACACTAGTGTTCTGGTGAAAGCTGGCCGAGGGGTAGCACTAATTGCACTCGCTGCCGATGATGCTGTCCTCCTGACGGGCTGCTCTTCTTTTACTCTGTCTCGGGGATGCAGTAACTCCAAGAAACACCACGACGAGTTCCTGGAGAAAACGTTACGACTTCCGAACGTCGCACTTTTAACGGAAAGCTCTCTGTCCTCGTAAGCTTTCGCCGGGTTTCCCGCTTCATGTTGAATCTTAATCGTGCGCAAGAGTTCACCGTCGACAAAATCGCGGCGGTACATGCAGCTCATCATATCACGGAAGGCGTCAGTAGAGGCGACGCGAAACAAAAGTCGCAACTCCTGCACCGTGCAGGACACATACTCTTCTGCTAAAACTGCAAACCCCTTTGGTCCCCATCGTGTCTGGTGTCGGTGGTCACGGACCGTAAGTCGAGTAAAGAGCTTCATTGCATTACTGTTCGTATAGCCTCGTGAAAACTTTTTTCGCTTCCAAACACTTCCATGGCTGTCACTGAGATTCGCCGCCGCCAATTCCAGTTCCAACTCACCCCAATTCACGCCAGACGCAGCCGCAGCAGCTACTTCATGCAATCGTTTGTCACTTAGTCGAGTTAATTCCCCCATCGTTTCGACGTCCAGATCACGTCGACGTCGTGAACTCGAGCAGTTTCCATATCCGTCATCACTGCGTTGACTAACGAAGTCGCACGTCGCACTGCTCTCTACGCTATCGTAGCTGTTACTGGGGCCCATCATAGCGACAAAGCTGGCCGCCACTGACCGCGACAAGTCCCCCTCGCATGATTTTCGACTCCACGGGGTCCCGTAGTTTCGGATCGCCAGCATCCTGTTCAAAGGGAGACAAGTAAATCAGCCCTCGCGTTTTCCAGCCGAATCGATGAGTGTTTTTGTCTTTGTACGAAAACATTGATTGCACTTGACGGTACTGAGTGCCTCTAGCATTTTTTTTCCAGGCAGGCAGGAGCGGGTTTTGAGATTTGTTCTTCATGCTCCGAATCTACTAAAAAAAGCCAGCATGAACTTTCATACTGAATTGAGGTAGTACGTTAAGCCGATTGCAACAAGCTGTAGTCTACTATTACATCGCTCCGAGACGGCTTTCAAGATTCAATGAAAAGCACTCTCTACACGAGACACGTCTGCGTGTGATTTCTGATAAGCAATGTTACTGCCTAAGCGACTACTATAGGTGGAAAGCCATGCAAATGAGCAGCAGAAAAGGTGAGTGAGAGGATTCTGTAGGATAGTCTGGTGGGATTGGGGTCTACGGCCCATTACGCGATATACGAGTCAACTACGACCACGCACATTATAGCCGACTGAGTCGGGATAAAGAACCTGTCTTCTTGTCACGGACTAGCGGCTGTTTTAGTTGAAATACTATGGCCGCTTTCGCCCTCAAAAATTTGTAGCGAATTCGAAGTGAGTTAGCACGTGCAAAAGGACAACGTCGCAGTCACATGCAGCGCAATGTGAATACAGAGAGAGACAGACGAGTCTTTTATAGCATTTAGTATTGGTTGCAAAATGTCGAGTATATCCTGGGTCAGGTTTGTTTGTGTGCTATGGTCTACAAGATTTCTGGAAAGTCCTCAGGCATTCTACCCCAAAAGATGTGCAGTTCCGACTACCAGCTGCCGGTTGACGATAGTGTCTTGAAACATTTGCGTTGCTAGGCGAAGGTAGACGCTATTGCTCACATACCTATCTCGTTATTGTCCGTTGATAGCAACCGCTCAGAGTTGGCGTAGAAGGACTGGTTTGACTACCTCTTGCTCCCAGGCCTGCTGTATACGCCACAAAGAGCGCCACGGAGGCCTCGTCTCCATCGTCCGACCTCTCGAATTATGTAGTATTGCTATGACTAGGTCACTACAGTCTTGTTACCGCTGAGCAGTCACATCACCGCTTTTCAAGTACCAGCTTCTTTGCTTTCGCGCCCGTTCTGAAAAGTTTGAAAACAACAGGCACCAAACTTTGATGGTCCTTTCAATTAAAACCAACGGTACCGATCACAATCATCGCCTTGTGTCGGGCGTGGCTTGTACAGCCAGCTCGGTAGCCGAAACTAACCGCGTTTTTTGTACCATATCACAACGTTGCACCATTTTACACCCTTTCCATCTCGGTTCTAATGCAGCACAATCCTATCTAGGCTTCCATGAGATACTGCGATGCCTCTTCTGATGACGTCCCGGCATCAGAAGCAGGCTTTCGGTGTCTAAGGCTACTCTTGCTCTACTCATGCGTAAATCTTTGCCATCCCTCGCTCACGAGCAATCATAATGCACACCTACGCAGCTTCTCAAAACACCACACCTCCGAACCAAACGGATTGCATCGACACCGCCAATGGAAAGCAAATTTCGCCGACGCTGAACTGTCACGATCAACAACACGAGATTAATTTTGCAACGACTTGACTTCGATGATTTCAAACTTTTAACCTTATTTGGACAAAAATAAATATCTAATTGATTTTTTGAATTTATTTTACATGCTGCTGCCCATGTCTACAGATTGCACCGTCTTCTTGGCATTGCAACGTGCTTCCATACAACACGTAGTCTCTGTCTACATGCGTCAGATATAGTTAGCGCCGGGCCTCCTCGAAAACGGACACGACCGACTCTCTGCTCATCTTCTCATCCATCTTGATTTCGCCGTCGTGTACCGGCCTAAACTGGCGCTCCCACTCCTCAGTGCGGAACTCGTTCTCTATCTTGGCCATGACGACGGATGCCAAGCAGTTTCCCATGACGTTCGTTAGCGTTCGCAACATATCCATGAGCCAGTCCACACCCAAGATGAGCGCCACTGGCCACGATGGTATGTCAAACTGATCCAGCGTCGATGCGATGACGATCAAGGTAGCCGAGCGCACACCAGCCACGCCCTTGGACGAGATCATGAGCATTAAGACCATGACGATCTGCTCACCCACTGTCTTATCGGCACCAGAGGCCTGTGCACAGAAGACGGAGGCCAGCGATAGGTACAGGGTTGAGCCATCCAGGTTGAACGAGTAGCCGAAGGGCACGACGAAGCTCGAGATATGGGAGGATACACCATACTTTTCAAGACATTCGAACACCTTGGGCAGCGCGGCCTCCGATGTGGCCGTTGTGTAAGCAATGATGAGCGGCTCTTTCATGGCAACAAGGAACTCCACCGCATTGATCTTGAATATTAAACACACGGAGCCGAAAACGACGACAATGAAGAGCAGAATTGTCACGTAAACTGTAGCCACGAGAGCACCTAAACTGCCTAAAGCCGAGAGACCGTTCGAGCCGATGGCGTCAGCGATAGCAAAACACACACCGATAGGGGCCGTCCAGATTACAATGTCCACAAACTTGAACATCATCTCCAGCACCGCGCGTGCGAACTCGATGATCAGATGCTTATGTTGGTCTTGCAGCTTAGATGTGGCCACGCCCGTGAGAATGGCGGCTATTAGCACCTGAAGCAGCTCTGATGAGCCGTTGCCGCCCATCATCTCGCCCCACGTCTTTGGAGTCAAGTGCTCAATCCATTTTTCTAGCGTGAATGTCGACTCGACCTGACTCTTGTAGTCGTCACCCTGAGTAAGACCCACTTTTCCGGGCTTGACGATATTAACAGCAAAGAGACCAAGAATGAGTGCCAGCGTTGTCACGAACTCAAAATAGATGATGGATTTGAGTGCGATACGACCGAGTTGCTTCATGTCCTTCTGGTCGGCAATACCAATCACAAGCGACGAAAATACAAGCGGGAAGACGATGAACTGCACCGTGCGCAGGAAAATGTTCTTCAGCGGAGCAGCCTTCTTCGAGAAGCCGGGAGCGAACTGTCCCATGAGGATTCCCACGATCATCCCAACGATGATCCAAAAGGTCAACGACGTGAGAATCTTGCGGGTCCAGGACTTCTTCTCCGGAACATCCGTGTCCATACGATGGTAGCTGTCGGTGTTGTTAATAGCGATGGTCATCCTTGCAACTTCGATTAGCTAGAGGATTGAACCGAGGTGGCAAATTAAGGTATGAACTGACACTGCTCGAATCGCCAGGACTAAAATTGCTCAACCGATCACTTGCCACAATCACGCTTCCAATCGCTCCGTATCTCACGTACCACTAACGTCGTACGACGGTGTTACGCAAAATATGGATGGCAGATTGTATGTTGTCACTGCCTCAACTCTTGAAGATCTTAAACGCATAGATATACATCTACCATTAAGACGGAAAATTGCAGATTTATAACTTGTTAGCCTACGTGCATGTAGATGAAGTCTCTAGAATTGAGGCAGGTAAAACACAACTTCATTATCCTAGCAGAAATTAATGTACCAGATGTGTTAGTGCGTAAAAAACGCTTAGCTTTTGCAGAAAAAAGGACAAATCTGCGCTGCTACCGGTACAGTATATTGACCATGTTGAGGTTTTATGTCACAATCTTACAAATCGCATCTGCGACAACCATGGTGGGATACAAAAAAGACGCTAACTGACACTGTATGTACCTAAACCTAGATAGTGACAAAGGATTCGACCACACTGATCTTACATACTGAAACATGTAGGGCGACGTTTACAATGTCTACAGTGTGGTAACATTGGTCACCCACTTGCGCGTTGCAGTTTCTCTGACGCCCAACTTCGGGGTCCTGGCGCCATCGTGGCTGCCGAGCAGGACATAGCCGATTTAAGCGACACCACACGGCCTTTTGCTAGTCTCAAAGAGCTTAGGGACACCGTTCGCGCACGTATTGCCGAAAACCGCCTGGCTCAGGAGACTCACAGAACGCCGGGAACTCAGACGACTGCACCTCCGACCCACGCAGGGCAGTCTGACTCCAACCGAGAGCCGCAGCGAAACCTTAAACCGGTGGATAGAGAAGAGGGAACATTACCTGCGGACGTAGAGCTTCAACCAGAACCCAAGGAACCACAGCCGTGGATTACCCACAGAACTCAAAAGGGACGAGTTTCTACGGGACGTGCAGCGAAATCAAAGACAAGCAGCGACAAGGGCACTAATCGAGAAAATATTTTTGTGGAAATCAGCGAAAACCCACAACCGACTCCCCAAACACCCGCCGGGCCGAGTAGTACGGGCGTTCCTGATGAAGTGGCCGAAGTTACGGTCACTTCGGCGCAACCGATCCTATCTCCATCTGAAGAGCTACTTCGTAAAGAAGCTATGGCGAGAGGACAGTTTCCACAAATACAAAAGCATTTGCTGCTTAGTCGTCAGACGAAATATCGGGAAACATTTTCGACGATGGTGCAGGCCAGTTGCGGGGGTCCTTCGGAGGTGGGTTTACCTGGTCCCATGCTAACGGCAGTGCCTCAGACTTTTGCAGCAGCAATTAAAAGCCTGGGGCTGCGAGAAGTAGTGACACCGGCGTCCGGTAATTGTCTGGCCATGGCAGTAGTGCAAGGTGCAACAGGGGCAGACCTAGCCGAACCAACTTCCAAGCTAGAACAGCTGACGGCAACCCTTAAACTAGGGGTTAAGGAGGTCGGGCTTCTTAATTTAGAAGACCGCATCCCGCATGATATCCGGGTAAACATTTTAAAAAATGTTAATCGTGCTTGGCCTGCCATGACGCGGCGAGAGTCACTGAGTCAGCTCAAATGGTTTTTGGAGGACTACGCATCCAGTCCTTCGAAACGAGACGCGGTCATTGCAGAGAACACATGGGGTGGAAATGACATTATCGGACTTGCAGCAATGTTTTTACGTCGAAACATATACGTGCTTGAATTCGTGGATACGCGGGCCAAACCCTGGAGTTGCAGGCAGTTTGGACCAGGAGTGGCATCCATTAAAGCGAAGAGTATTGCATCGTACACGGAGAGACCATTGGAAATTTTAGACTGTCTCGATGCTATCAGGGCGGACATCATCGACTCATCATCTCCTCCAATTGTCCTTCGGTATTGGGGTAGGCATTACTCGGCAGCCGTTCCCCGGTCTCAAGCAACAAAGGAATTAAAAGTACCTCGCGACGATATCAAGGACGGGACAACGATTCGGCAAGATGAACCTGACTTAATGGAGTCCACCTCCACGACTGGAGACCTCGTCACATTTAGTGCAAATTTAAAGCAGCTCGCGCTAACAGAGAGCACTACGGTCACCGCCCTGGCAACCAAGGATATCAACAATTCCGGCACATGCCTAACCCAGGGGGCCAACGATACACCGCCTCTCCAAATTTGCGCCGCTGAAAGGCAATTGCGAAAGCGGTCCCACTTACCTGCTCCTGACGAATGGGTTCAGGACGGAATGGCCTTAAAAAACATCCACACTGGGGTCCTGCTGAAAAAAGGAAAGCCGGAAGAGTACGCGCTGGTCCAATATCTCAATCCGGGGGACGTCTCCATGAGCGGATCCGCGCGGTATTGGGACGTAGAATGGAATCAAGGCAGCGTCCGGTGGCCTACAACGGCTAGCGTTCAGTGTCCTTCGGTGGAAAGCGGAACCGCTACCTGGGTGGCGGCGGCTGCAGCGGCACCGCAGGAATTACTTCGTCAAGTCCAACTTTTTCGTTTTCCTGGAGAACTCATCAACTCTCTTGCCGACTCAGTCATCGTTCAGTGGACAGAGAACTGGCGGCGGGAATGTCTCCAGCACTGTCTAGCGCGTTACCGGACTAAGTTTCCGTCACAAGCAACGACGGCGTGGTTAGATCAGTGGGTGCAACAGATCAAGATGCTACAGGAGCGGAAGGTCGCCGGTAATCTCGGTGATGACGCGGATCATTGGAAACGACTCCGTTTCAACAAATATGGGGGTGACGATCTTCTTCGGCTTTGTGATCCAGTTCGCCGGGTGAAATTTAGTCACCACACCTTATGCGCACATCTGTATCAAGTTGAAATTGCAGAGCTCTTATCGGTGACCGATATGGTAGCTAGTCGTCGGACCGTGTTGGAGGCTCACGTCCAGCTTTTACAAAGCGATGCGAACTATAAACTCAGCTACAACAGGGATGGGAAACAGGCCAATTGGGCCAGTATAGCGCATTATTTTGAAGCAGCCTTCGAGAAGCCAATGGCCATCGAAGCTACTGACTACTAAAGGCAAACCACAGACGACGGCTCGGTCACCGCTTCCGACTTTAAGCGGGGATACAGCTGATGCGTACGGTCACTACATGCACGATAGACTGATGTTTAAACGAGCGCGTTCCCAGCGGGCGTCTTCGACAACTACGTCGCGAAAAATAATTACGCAGAATGTCCGAGGTTTTTCTTGCAAATCGCGACCAGTATGGATGGCAGCATGGCGTAATGCGCCACGAAAAAGTCGACCAGATATATGGTGTATTCAAGAAACACACGTCGCCACTCAAAAGGAAGCGGAGGACTTAGATCGGGACTGGAGAAGACACTGGGGGTTATCCACAGAAGATTCACCGTCACCTCTTTCTTACTGGAGTCTGGGGACTCGACAAGCGGGAGGAGTCGCTATTCTTTTAACACCGGAGATGGCCCAGTCGGCACAGCCATGGCCAGACCTCCTCACCAATCCTAGGCAGATTGCGCTATACGTCCAAGACAACTTTTTACTTGTTAACATTTACGCACCTAACGAACGTGCAGAACGCGAAAGGTTTTTCAAGGGGCTAGAAGGGTTGCAGCAGTCACCCGCCCCAGTCATCCTAGCCGGCGATTTCAACTGCGTCCAACACCCCTCGGTCGATAGACTGGGGCCACGCACTGCTAGTCGCACTGAAAGCCATGCTTTGGATGCTCTCGCTGACATGTGCCAGCTAGTCGACGCGCTGGACCTGACCCCTCATCCGGATGACGACCTGGCGTGGGAGCCATCAGCTCACTTCACGTATTGGGCAGGGTCCGCTGCCAGCAGGATTGACCGTTTCTACGTATCCCACACATGGGGAGACCGAGTACAATGGTTGGAATCCATTCTTCCACCATCGGCATCGGATCATCAGCAAGTCACCTTGCATTTATCTTCGGGGAATCGAAATCGGCACCGCCATCCAAGGAAGGTCGCGTACCCCATCCAATGTGCGAACCATGATAACACCGTTGCAGAGCTCATCAATCACCTCACAGATATGGGGATAAATGATTTAACCACGGTCCTGACCTGGGATCACGGGGCCCGTCGCGTCCGGCGGGGAATCACAACTATTGCTCGCAGGCTCAAGCAACGGCGATCACGGTACATCCATAAGCTCCGACGGCGAGCACGAATTCCACTATTAACACGCCAGGCCTGGCACCAAGTCCAACATGAGGATCAACAGGAGGCTCACATCAGTCGGGTCGGCCTCTTGCTTCAACGAACAACCGACAAGCTTCGCAAGAAATTTAAACAAGTTTCAGATTGGGAACGTGATCAACGCGTAACCGCCATCAGGAGACTCCACGGTAATCCGTTTCCGGTCGGTTGCAGTGTTGCCGACAAATTTGGATCTGAATGGGATCATGTGCTGGGGAAGAGTCACCGTACCGTCCCAGATACGGAGCTGCGTACGGCTCTTCACCAATTTGTTACTCTCCCGTCCGACCGCATTGTGACCACCGCTGAAAACGGCGCTCTTATGGCAATTATAACGGAAGCCGAGGTGGTCCTCGCAATACGAGCACTCAGTCGGCATAAAGCCCCAGGAACCGACGGCTTAGGAAATGATCTGTATAAGGATCTCCAATCGCTGTTAGTTTCGCCGCTGGTGGAGATAGCTAACGAAATCATCCAAGGGGCACACCCACCCAAATCCTTTATGGAAGCGCTTATAATCCCACTGCGTAAGAAAGGAGATTCCGACAACGCGATGGACTATCGGCCGATTTCCCTTTTGCAAACGGGGTACAAGGTTATTGCGAAGGTCTTGGCTACGCGTATGCAGTCGTGTTTGCCGCATGTCATTGGTGCTTCTCAACAAGGCTTTGTTCACGGACGACAAATGCAAAAGACGGTATCCATGATGCTCGCTCATCTCCAAAGCGCACGTGAGGAGAGTACATTAAACGCCGACGCCAGCCGCGCCATTGTCTTGTTGGATTTTCGGAAGGCCTACGATACAGTCGACCGAGACTTTATGGTGGAGGCGCTTCGACTCTTCGGCTTTGAAGAAAAATTTCTTGCGCTAATTCAACGGCTCCATACCAATACGACAGCACGGTTCTCAGTCAATGGAGAGCTTTCTTCAATTCGGGGAGTTCGGTCGGGTATTCGGCAGGGCTGTCCTCTCGCTCCCCTTCTTTTTCTGGTGGTAGTAGAGGTATTGGCAGTTGCAATACAAACGTCGCCACAACTTCAGGGGCTCACACTTCAGGGAGCACATACACCCAGTCACATCTTTTCGGGGTTTGTCGACGACTCCACATTATTTCTTCAAAAAGCAAGTTTACTACGACCGGCTATGGAAATTATTACTGAGTTTGGACGGCTATCGGGGTTGCAAGTGCAACCGACTAAAAGCCAAATCATATTTTTAAATACGGCTATCCATCAACTCACGTACCAAGGAATTGCAGTGGTTGCTCCGTCAACAACTACGAGATATCTCGGATATCAAGTGGGGACAGGAAAGTTGCGAAATATTAATTGGGCTCTCCGCATCAAAAATACACAGCGCCGCCTCCTCACTGCAACGCGAGTATCGACGACTCTCGAGCACCGTGTCCTAATACTCAACACGATTGTTCTCCCCGGGATTTTGTTTACAGCAGCAGTTTTCGAGCCCCCCGGCTGGGCGCTAAAACAATTGGATCACCTCTATAAACAATTTCTCTGGAAATCGTCCAACAAGATCGAACCTGGGAGACACAAAATCGCTCCAGGCCTACTCTACACTCCCCGGAAGGCAGGAGGAATTGGCCTAGTGTCCGTCCCAATTGCTATTAAAACACAGCGAGTGAAACACGCGCTTCTGGCACTTACTCGGCCGGAGGATATGTATCTCACAGCGTGGGTGTCCTGGAACACGCATGGGGCACGTAACACGAGCATCAGCCCGCATCGACCGAGCGTAAAACACATCGTATCGCCGTCGTTCGAGCGTTATCCCGATGTGATCCATGAACTCGGCTGCACATTACGGCCAGACATCGCGCAAACGGCGGTAATCCTAGCACGAGTACAAGAACATCTACCGAACCTTCGGTCATCATCGACCAGTTGGTGGGAGGAAAATGACTGGATTTTGCACCTCTCCGAGCCCCTTCCATGGCGGCCTCAAGGGGATGAGATTTGGCCTCAGGAGATAAACGATTTTTGGCAGACTTTTCAGTGGAGTGGTAATCCTTGGATTCTCTCACCGCAGGCGCTCGAGCTGTCCCGATCCAAATATAACAGAATTCGTGATGTATCCCTCGAACAACTCCACATCCAGCGGACAGGCCCCCAAGAATACGTCTTCAGCGGCATTGGCACGGATGTCCATGACCCCCGCCATTCGCATGCGAAACTTCGAGAATGGGCGATCATAATTTTACTTTCGTCGCCGCCACTAGACGTGGGAAATCCGGTAGGGTGCCCAAGCCCATTGCGGCTAAGGCAACAGCTACCATTCACGCAAGCCATCTCATGGGTGCTGATCGGGCCAGGCAAGGTTCGAGGCGTTTCACTCTCTGATGAATCTGATCGCCCTCAGAGTTGGGAGCTCACTCAATGCCACGATGGCATAACTTGGGTTTTCGACGGCGCTCCGCCGCTAGTAAAAGGGAAATCGCAGGAACTCACCCAACAAGCGGAGAGCAAGCTCAGCCGACATGGGGTTGTCTTTTTTTCCAACCCACAGATCCACCACTATCCGTGGTCCGCACCGCCTACGGTCCCCAACCATCGACTATTCACTTTTTTGAAAAAACAAGCTTTTCAGGCGACAAAGCGCGGTCTCGCAGCACCGCTGAAGCAGGTCATCGATCGGCTAGCCACCAAGAGCCAGAATACGCGGTGGCAATGCACAGCTTTAAATGTCACGCCGGCTCAGCTATGGGATCACGGCCATGCGGTAACGGAATACCAGCTATGGACACGATATCGACACGCTACCGGACAGCTAAACTTTTGGTACCAAAACCGACCCCCGGACGGATCATGCACATATTTGGAATGTGTAGGCCAAAAGGAAACCCAGGAGCATCTCTTTTGGGGATGTCCCCGCGCTCAGGCAATCTGGGCCCGGCTTATCAGTCATTGGGAGAGTACACCTCACCATCCTACCCACCTCCTGGATTGGCTCGAACACTGCGCAAACTGTAGCGTACCACGCATCTCGCCGCAGGTCACAGCAAAGCTGTTAGCCCGGTACCCGGAAGACATTGATCTATTCGCCACAGCCTGGAGGACGATTTGGGAAGTCGCAGTGACCGTCATTATCACAATGCTCTGGCAACTTCGCGTGGATAGGATTTTTAACAATGCGCTTATTCCGATACAAGCCAGTGAAACTTTGATCTGGAATCGGATTCAGCTCCAACTGAGGGCGCTCATCAAACGTCTCCATTGCAGGGCGGCCACAGCCGTCCGTGGAGCCCAACTATCTGCATGTTACGACATATTTATATCAGAACCGAGAGGGCAGTCCGGCGTTCATAGACGTGCTGCCAGCCGCAGGCAATTCCTGGACCCTCCAGCGTTGCTAGTGTGGTTAACTACCTACCAGAGATCTTGCACTAATCAGTAAATAGACAATCTGTTCTCTCTCTCTACTGAAACATGTAGAGAGCGTATTTGTAACGGGGTGAGTCCGTTACATAATATTGACACTTCATAGAAGTGTCAATAAAAAAATTATTATAACTAATAAATTTGACAATATTATATTTTCCTATAATATTGTTCTTGCATCTCCTTGAAGTTGGAGATGCCCTCTAATTGGTTGATATGGGCCATCATATCAACCAACGCGCTGATCAATGGCCGATAGACGCGCGCAATGAGTGGAGGGCAAGTTGTCAACATACATAGTTGTTGTTTAATATAGTTAACAAAGTTATAACAGATTAGTTTTATTAAGATAGTCTAACTATATTAAATACAGTTTTTTTTCCTTTTCAACTAAGCGTTTATTTAGTTATTTAGCTTCCTCTGCTCACGTG